AACTCCCTTTACTTGCTGGTGCGATAGGCAGGGAATGAGAAATGCAATGACCGCAACAGAAACCATCCAACTGGTGGTGTCCTTTTTGGGGACCAAAGCCTGGGTTCCTTTCCATTCCCTTCTGAGCACCAGCAACTTTATCTTATATCTGGGGGGTTGATCAATATTCCGTTCAGCCTCTGTCACCCGACTGTAAAACCTGTCTCAGTGCTGGGGGCGGGGGGCCTTTTGAAGAGGACAGCTGAGTATGACATCATGTGAAAGGCCAGCTCAGACAGCGGTGTCCTTCTGTTGCAGAGCAAGCTCCTGTGAACATGCCCCATCCTTTGAAGTGAGGAGTAATCTATTCTGAGCTGACAATATGGCGACAATGATCCGATACTTCCATTTGGTTTAGACCAAATGGAAAAATATTAATATGTCCAGTAGTGATAAACTCCGTTTTGAAACCAACAAGGGAAAAACAAAAATAATCTTAAGCAAATGGAAGGATAGACTGCCAAAAAATAATACCGAAATACCGAATCTACCTGCTAAGTCGATGGCCCCAAAACCTCCCGGATATTCGACCCCACGGCAAGTTAGAACCACGGTGAAGAAGTTGCGAAACCCCAAGGCAAAGAATGAGTAATGGGATTCCCGGATTCATCGAGCCCAGTTTATCAAAAGGGGTGTGTCCCCTGGTTTAATGTAGGACTTGTCTATTGATAGGACGGGTTTGTTTATCCCGGGTCAACGTTAAACAACTAAAGAATCAAAAGAGCTTCTGGATGGGCGCACCGTGATCTAACTTCCCACGTTCAGGACCTAGCCTGCCAAGGTGGCTGGAAGTCAGAGGCTTCTCCAAACACGCTCAACAAAAACGGCCAGGATGAAATGCGTGTTTTGAGGATTTCCTTTTCGGGGGGTGTTCTTTGTTTAGGAAACTGACCCCCTAAAAAATACAACAAATTGCTGTTTCACTTTGGCTCTCTGTTTAACCAAACTTAAATTAGGCACCCTCAAAAAGAGACACCCATACTGCGGAGCTCTGTGCTAGGGGTCAAAGGGTTCCCCCCTGAGTACCGTTGGAGAAAGGGGGGTTACAGGGCCACCCATTAGCCGAGTGCAGATGTCGCGCGCTTGCCGGCTTGCCTGAAATCCTGCATCAAGATATCGCTCGCCTGGGCGAGCGAAGGCAAGCAAAAGGCTGCTCGCTCAGGCTAAAGTCACGGAGGAGTGGTGGAGGCTCTTCTTCGTCCCTGAATAAGCCCCCCCCACAGCAGGCCCCATGATAAAGAGGGGGTCTGGAAAAACCAAGAAAATATTCATCCCCTTTTGTTGAGGAAACCTGATCGACATAGTATCGACACCGCTCCCTAGCACCCATGGCCGAAGTCCTTGTTCGGACTATATCTAAAAAACACGTGCCAGAAGGAAGTCTCTCGCAACCTTCCATTTGTGTTTTTGCCCCCGGGAAACAAACAAAATATCCAGTAGTGAAAGATTCCCTTCAAAACCAACAGGGAACAAAAAAGGCTTAACCAAATGGAAGCAACATAGGTGTCCTGTTGCAAAAATAGATGGCAACGGTCAATGATTAGAACCAACCTGCAACCAGTGGAACCCATCTATTCTCAACCAAGCTGACTGAAACAGGCCGTGGATGAGCGTCGTCCGTTGCACGGATTCTCAAAAAGTTTGGGGCGCTGCGTTTTCAAAAATTATTCCTGTGAAGCGTTTGCCATGGATTCACCATTCTCGTGAGGTCTTCCCAACATGTTCGAGAAAGATCCATGAACTCCGCAAGCTAGTTGAACTTTGACCATCTTTGGAGCATGGGTTTCCTGACGCTTGGGTGAGTGTCCCAAACATGAGGGCATCCCTTTGCACCTGCTTCACTGTTGGCATGCTTTTAGGTGTTTAGGTGCTTTGGTTCTGTTCATGTTCAGTGGGTGGCTACAAAAGACAGAGTCGTTTGCTAACATCCCATTTCCCCTTAAAACGGGGTGTCAAAAGGCAAATCCGGAATCAAGGACAGGGCTGCTCTGGCCGAAGTTGGCGCCGATGTCCATCACAAGTCCTGGTTTTCGCGACGAAAAGCACAGGATCTCTCGGTAAAACGCCTTCCCAAAAAAGCGCAACATCGCGTCTGCTCCTTGGTTCAAAAAGCAGTTGGTGTTGCCTTTGTACCCTTTTTTGGGGTAGGAAACCACAAAACCACCCGCTGGGTGTCCAAATCCCATTTGGAGATCCCGAGTGGTCGAAAGATCAAGGCCAAAGGACCCGGATCCCACATGGACCATGTCTTGTCTCGTTGGCTCCTGACTCCCCCTCGCCAGTGCGACACCTGCCATGAGAACAGCCCAGCATCGCGGGAAATCCCGTCGAAAAGTAGCCAGGGCGATGTTTAAGCTGCCCCTACCTGAAGGGGGAGGGGGGGTTCCCAATTCCATTTATCTAGGCTTCCCCCACAAAAGATGGAAAATGGGCTACCGTAAACAGAATCCCAGGGTCCGCCCCATCCCACACATCCAACTTTTGTGGGGAGGAGGTTTAAACCGGCGGGGGCATATTTTTTGGGATGACGGGGCGGGCGGTTGAGCTAATTTCAGCCTATGGGTGTCTTCTTTTGGGCAGAGCCCGTTATCCGGTTGCCCCCGAAATGGAAGAACAAAAGACTGCCAGGGATGTGGCCATGAATCAAAATCCCGTACCCCCAGTGAACATCCCAATCCCCACTAAAATAGACTACAATGGGTGGTGCACCTACCCCAAAATGGTACCATTGGTTTTGACCCACAGCCATGTGTCTTTATCCTGCCCAAAGGACCCAGGCACCGCATTTCGGCCGCTACCCGGGATTTGTCACCAGATTTTGCATGTCTCTCCCTGATTGCCTGTAAGAAGAGTAGCTGAGCCTGGGCGGGGCAATCAAAGTAGCCTGCTGCCCTCGCCTCTTGCTGCCGCGCTCGCTTGAAGTCTCCTGGCATACAACGAATGCAGAAGAGACCGAAGAAAGGGTGTGGCGGTGTCGTAGGAATCGGACCCCCCAAAGTCGGGTATTTTCCGAGTGGTTTCCCTAAGAAACCAACCAAACAAAAGTACCCACAAAAAAATACAAGCACGGGACCTGCCATCAAAATGATGCTGCAAAACCCAAAAGCATCTGACCATGTTCTGATCCCCTGCTAAAAGTGTCTAACTTGTGGGTGAAATGGAAACCCAACCACTGAACCCTAAGAACGACTAAAAACCTAAGGGGATGGCTGGGAACCATCAGAACTTTGATAGACCGTTTTTAGGCAAAGAAACTGTTTTTTGCCGCCGCCCACCAAAAAACAAGCAGAACCAAAACAGTGGAGTAGACCCCTCAAAATGGAACCACTTGAACGCAGCAGCCAGACTCCGCAGCGTTTGAAACGCTCTGGGCTCTGTTCTACGCTGCGCCTTGGGCGCGCATAAGTTTCGCCTGGAAGGGGCCGTGAGCGACTCGATCCCACATCCTGAGGCTCCGTGGACTCGTCACATCTTCCCACTTGGAGGTTGATCAAACGGTCCGTGATACATACTTCCAGTTGCTTTTGTCCGCACTCTGGAAAACAAAAAATATATGTCCAGCAGTGGTAGATTCAATCTGAAACCAACAGGGGATCAAAAAAAAGTCCGAATCATTCTTTCACGAATGGAAGCATGGGATGATTCTTGGGGGAAACCAGGAAAAGATTTGATATGTCAACTACACGGAAAAGTGGCCCATGGTCATTTCCGGGCCCGAAGGGAATATTGATCAACCCCCACTTGTGGGTGATGAGTGGAAATTCCAAAACGGCCCCTAAGTCAGCCGCGCGAATAGTTCAGCCCTGCGCCCCCACTCTGCAGCCAGATGGCAGCTTGGCTGCCACGTGGCTGCAACGCGGGAGGGGGGGTGACGGCAGCTGTCCTGAAAAACGTATGGCTGTGGGTCAAAAGTAGGTACCCAAAATGGATCCCTGGCAAATGGAAACGTGGACTAAAACCTGCGGTCCCCTGTTGGTTTGATTTTTCATCACACCGCCACCTTTCCTGCCACGAACATAGTACCTGGAGGGTACATGGAAGATCAGTTGCTTCAGGGACCTCCTGTCAGGCGCCATGGCAACATGGGAGGGATGGATTGCCACATTTCATCACAACACACTGGATACCGCCTCTTCCAGCAGTTGCCCCCGTGAAAATTCACGGAATGAAGCACTCGAGGCATTCACTTCAAGCTGAGCTGAGGAAAATGAGCACCTCTCGCCCGGGGTTCGATGCTTCGTGGAGTACATCCACTTGGCTGCGTCTTCCTCCCGCCGTGGCAGGTCAATCATTAAACTGAGCTCTCTGCTCGCCCTAAAGACATCAACTTCCACTTCTGAATTCCAAAGCCGCACATAGCCTGAGTCATCGTCCTACATTTGCAACGCAATATAACTTATGGATTTGACTTGTTGCAGCTTTACCGCAGACACAGCGGTCTCATAGTTCCTCAGGATGGAAGTTGACCACTGGACAAGCATGTGACACTTAAAATAGGGGACCCCCACCACATTCTGGATACAGCTTGATGTCCTCAGAGACAAACCTTACAGGAGGGGGTCCCTTTCATGAGCTCCCAACGGTGAGTAGAGACTGCCGTGGCAGATCTTCACCCGTTAAGATATAACTGCGGAATTCCAAGCACAACCCTTCAGACACTGTCCGCATTCCTCTTGGGTAACAGAAGGGACCAGAAAAAGCATGGAACAAATACAGTGTCGAGGAATCCGCAGGAATCCATATGACTGTGGCTCAAAATTAAACAGGAGGGGTTACGCGGGTGTTGGTCCATGTTTCCACTTACCAAGGTTCAATTTTGGTACCGGTTTCTTGAGCCACTGCCATATCTAAATCGGATTCTAAGAATTCTTCGCAACCTGCAGGGCTCCCTATATTTCCCCTTAAAACGTCACCTCAAGGGACCCTCGCCAATATCTTGGGCCAAAAAGGTGGTGTGTAAAGCCACCGCCAGGGGAAATGTAGGGAGCCCTGACCTGAGTTTTCTTCATGGCAGCGTCGTCCGATTCATAGCGTGCTCCTCCGAAACTGGCGCGGGTGTCCCTTTTCCTCTCCCCGAAATCAAAATCGAGCGTCTGTTTTCTTGCTTCTTCCCGCACGTTCGGTTGCGACGCGAGTCGCAAGTCGCATGTCTCACGCTCCGCTCACTCTGTGTCCACCAGCAGCCGCTTCCCCATCATCGTCTCACGGGCCTGGAAGGACAGCGGTCATTCGATATGTCCCGCAAGGAAAGAAACCCCAAAGTCAACCGAGTCAGAAAAATCCCCAGTTCATTGATTGGAACGTCCAATTTCTGCGGGAATCCTTGCTTTTAGTGGGATGGGTACTTAGATCCGCCGGGCCACGAGTCACTGTCCCCAGTGGATCCCACGCAAGCCACCAGGTAGCCAGCCATTTCCCATTTGGATTTTTTGAAAATGGCGGTCCCTCGGCTACCTATACGGGTGTGTTCTCTTGAGGGGACACACCAAGATGATGGTGTGCCTGTTGGTGTCCCTTTCAGACCCCGCCATAAACGGGAGCCCGACAGAAAAAAGAGACACCTGTGCGGCTAAATGGAATCACGCAAGTAACTCCCAGAGTTGCCTTCGTCCGACTGTGATGAACGGAACCTTGCCCGAGTACAACTTGCGAAAACCAAACACTTTGGTTTGTCTCCGAGGGAACCCTGAAACTTGGCGGGTGTCCTTTTGTTCCCCCTAACCACCCCAAAGAGGGTACCCTCCAACAAGGGCACACCCACTTGGTCATTGGAGCTTTACTTGCCATCATCACTTTAGTCAAGGGCAACAGATGTATGGTACCAAACCTTGCCCCAGGACAAGTTCAAGTCCCATTTCAAGGCGCCTGCTGAGTCGCAACCAAACACGGCATCACAGCCGTCGAGTGATTCCATGTCCCTCTAGGTAACAAAGGCAAACCGCCAACAAAACAACAAAGGCAAATGGATGGTTTTCTGCTATAGTGGCCGGGATCAGGAAAATCCCATGGTTACCCTTTTCCCACCTTTTCCATCCTCGAAAACGAGCGGCCCGGGGCATGGGAATTCAAAACGAGGGGCGTGAGAATTCCACATGCCGAAGCTGATGGCTAATCCCAATTCGGCTTTGATCCGAAACGGTGGGGTTGGCTCAATTGAGCTTTGCCTGTGGCACTAGACACACCTCAAGATAACAGGTCCACTTCGCACCCCGAAAATTGAATATCAACTCCCGAAGCAAAAACAAAACTAGAAATCTGCTTCCAGGGGATCCCTGTTGTCCTAGATATCAAGTAAGATCCCTGGCATGCGGTCGCTCGCTCAACCTGCCTTGGCAATCTTATTCAACACCTGAGGCGATTGCAGTCCACAGCTTCCGCAATCCGGTTTCAAGCACTGTGGTCATGCACTTGTGGGTGTGCCCCTGATGACTCCACTGCAACCCAGATATTGGTACATAGCCCAGTGCTAAAAAGTGAATGCAGCAAATTGCGGTGCACGCCCATGTGTGCGACAATAGCCAATAGATCATGACAGTCGCGCATGTGGGCCCCGTTGATTTTGGGTTATACACTGGATGCCCCAAACATAGCAAACTGCAACTAAAGGAGAAGGCGAAACCCTGTAATCGGAGGGTTTTGGGGTGCAGCTCGAGAGAAGGAAAACAGTCGTTCAGGGTGGATCATCGAATCGCTACAACGAAAGGGCTTCCTAAACATCACCAACACAAAAAGCCAACTCGCAAATTAAATTCCAAGCCAACAAATTGTCTAAACCCGCCACAGCCGGTTCAATGGATATCAACTTCCTGACTCCAAGGCGGCGGCCTAGATCATTCGGCCCAGTTTTCTGAGCACCCTTGCAGAGATTTGAACGCTCCGCGACGTTTGCCTCTTTCGAATCCGGAAGTTCGACCGGCTTGAATGGTTTGTAAACGTGTGAGTCTTGTTTAAAGGGTCGAATCCGACCCTTTTTTGGGACTCAAGGCGGCTTTTGCCAGAATTTGCCTCACGTACATTGAGCAAATAAAGTTGCACTCCCCCTGAAAGTGATCTATAAGTGGGTTTTGGAGATGGTACCCCCTTTTTGGGGCTTTCAAGGGAAACCAGGCTATTTTGGGGGGGGTCCACCCGTAAAGAAAGAAAGACTGGAACCACCAGACGTTCAAAAAGGAATCCCCATTTTTGTGTGGGGCTCCCATCTTGCGGGTCACTCGTGTTGCCCTTGGCCGACCCTTCGGCTCTCCGGGACATCGGAATCCATGGTCCCGAGGGCAGAAACCCCATCCGAAGCAGCCCACTGAAACCGGTCGCAGGAGAGTTCCGTGGTATTGGTCTTGACTCGGATCTCGGGAAAGTTATAAAAGTAGATGGCACTGGTTGAGGTTTTATTCCATTTGCCAGGGGAGTCCATTGTTTCCAAAAGGCCGCCTATGGGAGGCCAGAGGGAGTTTGTGCAGTTGAACCCAGGACGTGGTTGAAATCAACGAGAGAAGGACACCCACCAGTAGCACATGTCCAACGCCAAATCGAAACTAGCCAGGGACACCCACCGACACCGCATGATCCGAATCAATCCGTTGATTCGGCCCGCTGCTTCTTTTTAAGGGTAAATGCAGCCCTAACCACCAAACCCCCAATCCAAACCGGGAAACTGAATGCTGGACCTTGCTGAAGGGTGGCGTTCCTTTTCTCCCTGTCAACCAGGCTGTGCCCTCAACACATGAACACATGCTCACTTTCGGCGACTCCGTCCCGACCCACGGTCCAATGGCATCTCTTCGGCGCCTTCTTCTTCAAAGTCTCCTCGGAGTGGTCCAGGCCATGCTTGACGTTGTGCAGCAACTCCTGGATGCCATTTGGCCATGGTTCCAAAGCCAAATCGTACCCCCAGTGAACATCCCAATCCCCACTAAAATGGATCCCAAAATGGGAGGCGCACCTACCCCAAAACGAGATCCCATTGGTGTTGACCCACGGCCATGTCTTTGACAAATGATCTCAAGCCGTCCGATCACGGGACCATTGAACACCACCAAAAAGGTCTGCGGGGGGCCAAAGATCCGGGTTCGTGGAGCTGTCAAACCTCACCTGTCTAGGCTTCACTTGGCTTGACTCCCCTTGATCCACATGGCCGCATCTGTTTTGGTAAAGAAGCCCCAAAATGGGTGGCGCTCCTTTTGTACACCGAAAAAGGTGTATCAACTCCAAACAGAAAGAGAAAGACCATGTACCTCCACCACCAGAAACGATCCACAGTATCCCCAGCAGGCAAGGGGACCCTTTTTGGGGGCCATCTGTGGGCAACGGGTTCCTTATCCCGAAGCACTTTCCGGAAGCTCAGCCCGTCCCGAAGTCCCGACGGTGATGTGAACAAATGAGACTGCCATTGCTTTGAGCCAGTTGCCCGGTGACCCTGCTTCAACTTGGTCGCTTTCTGCGAAGCCCTGCTAACAGTGTTTTTTTTGCTTTTTTTTTTTTAAAAAAAAAATAGTGGTTTAATTCGGAAAACCCGGTAGTGGGCAAAAATATAATTCAGTCCTAACATCCATTGGCAAAATGCACCAAAGTCAAAGAGTCACATTGTCTTTAGGCTGACCCCCTATTTTGTGGGGATCCCACTCAATAAAAGGGGAGTGGGACCCTTTCGAAGATATGTAACTTGTGGTCTCGTTCCCAAGGTCGAACAGTTGAACTTCCAAGAGATAGTGCCAGAGTTGCCCTTTACTCTTTTGCCGCCTCCATTTGAGTACTTGGCCAAAGGCTTGAGGGACCAAACTATCTGAACAAATTACAAGGGTGGTCGCTGAATTTCCCCAAATCACAAGTTGATTAATTTACCGGTAGCTTCCATTGAAGCTGCAAAAATGGCTCGGAAGCCCTGAATGGCTGCCCTGAATGGCTGCCTTATTCCAGAGCAGAAATTAGGGATTCTCACATATGAATAGGCCTTCCTGGGCGAGCCTGTATTACCCTCGATCAGTGGGGCTCGCTCGAATCACTTGCCCAGAAATTACGTGAGTACATCGACCACTACAGTTTTGACAGGCTCGTGTTTGATTCCGTACTGATGGACAAAATCCATATCGCACCAGTTGGGATGGATGAGTCACCCCGGGAGTTTTAAGTCACCTGGTGAGAAATGGCTGATGTGTCCATGAGTACTTCCAGTGAGATAATCCACCCCTCACCTAGTCTAATCCTCCGGCTCGAAATTCGAGCCTCCGTCTCTTTGTCTGAGATCACGCCTCGGTTGCGCAAATCCAAGACTTCCACTGGCATCAAAGTGAGGTGACAATAATGACTTGTCATTAGACATCATTCGCATGGAAGATATATGTGGATAAATAAATACATCTATATGTCTATGTGTATGTATATTTACTACATCCACCAAACATGTTGCAGGGTACTCCAATCAATAAAAGTTCGCTTGTCCAGGTGTGCGTTGGCGGTGAGACAAGTCACCATAACAACTCAAACTGTCGCCAGCCGTCTGCACTACTCGTGTTCAATATGAAGGCACCGTTTTGCTGATCTGATCCTGTACGGGTACCTATTTGTTTGAGACTGGTGCTTGCGTAGGTCTGGGTTTGTCTCAAAATCGGGAACCCCCCCCCAAAACAAAAACCATGGGCGGTGTCCTTTTGGTTTCCTTTCGGAAGCACCCAAAAAGGGTACCCTCAAAAAAAACCGACCCCAACCATCTGGAGTCCAAAGGCGCAAAGAGCCACGCATCTTCTATGGTAAACCAATGGGAGACTAGCAGGGATTTGGTGCAGCGAGCTTCTTCTGAAACCCCGCGGGTATCATTGGGGGGGCTCAAAATTTGGCGACCCCCAAATGGCAACAGCCTTCTTTTGGATTCCGTTTGAAGCCAACCCAAAAAGAGTTCCTCAAAAAAAGACCCACCCAGATGTCACAAACAAGTTGGACACTTTTGAACTGAACAAACATACCATGTCGAAGAATGCATGGAGTTTTCATACGTGCCCGCATCGCGGCGTTCCCCGTTGAAATGGCACGCATCAAATGTTTTCCCCAACAAGTAGTATTGAGCCCTCAAAATGCAACCAATTGAGCGCCCAGAACTCATTGACTTTTGGTATTCTACCAAAATGGCAATAAAAGGTTGGGCCTTACTTCAACGCCCCTGAAACCAGGTAGAACCATATTAAACCGGCCAATGGGAATCGGTGGGCGCAGCTCACTTGTTGCCTCCCAAGGCGCCTTGCTGCTGCCAGCGCATGACTTGGTCCTCACGGCAGCCCAATGAACTGAGGGTGCCGTTTTGGGAGGTGTTTCGTACCTGAAGTCCTGTTCCCTTGGGATACGGCGCCGCCAACGTTTGGATAGGCAAAATACCTGACAGAAAACCGGAGAAGTGAAAACAGCCCAAGGGCCCATTCTCCAAGGTACCTGAGGTCTCCAATAGCCAGCCAAAATGGGCTCGCGACCCCTTCGCAACTACCCGTTTCCCACTAGCAATTAGCATAGGATGGTTGGAAGATGAATCGTATCAGTGCACTAGTGGGATGGTGCTCGGAAGGTGAATCTTGGGGATACCGAGGAGGAATCGCGTCATTTGCCGTCGGGTATGTAACAGAGACTCAGACAGCTTGGCGGAGCTGTCGAACCCCCAGAAACCGTTCAACTACGATGCTGTGATTCCGTTCAATGCGTAGCCAACCTAAGATACAACCATATATATATAATTATATATATATATATGTAGTGGCGTCTTTGTGTTAGGAATCCCCCCCCCGGAAAATGGTTTTGGTTTCCCGAAAAACCAAAAAAAACACATATTGGAGGAGACTCCAGATTGCAAAAGGGAAACCCCCCCAACAAAAATGGCCCGTGGGGTGACGTCCAACAGCAAGATGCGTACCCAAAATGGACCCCTGGTAAAGGGAACCAAAGACTAAAACCTGCGGTCCAATTCTTGGTGGTCGTAACCCATACCCAGTTGAGTTTTGTCCCAAACGGTTTCGACAGCTTCGGGCTTTTCCTCAACAGGAGCCCCCCCCCAATGGTTCCAAAGACCGAATTGTCTCAAACTAGGGGAACCCAAAAAAACTCGTGGGTTGCCCTTCTTGCTTCCCTCTAGAGCCAAAGAAAAAAGTACCATCCATTTAGAGACCACACACACACCAAATGGAGTTTTGGTCTACACACATCTGCCGAATCCATCCTTCTGCACCTCGAACAGCATCGTGGCCAGCTGCATGGTGCGCACCTCTCGGAGAGGTTTTGTTGGCGGCCGCGGTCGCGTGGGGAGCGGGGCGCAAACCCAACGGATGCTTCTCAAGCTCCTTTTTTGGGCTGTCTGAACACATGCCCCGCTAGAAGTTTAAGTTTGGTGAAGTGGAAAACCGCTAGAACCATATAGAAAGCTAGACAGCTGAGGGGATGGCTGGGAAGAAGGTCCCCTAGCCTTGCTGATGGTTGCAGTCTCCCACACTCGGCACCAGTTGGGATGTCCTGGTGCAACAAGTATCCACAGTGTTTCACTTATGCCAACTGGTGCGACACGGAGTTTGTCCATCCACAGTGCGGTGTGGTCTTCAGTTTGCCTTTGGTTTTGTAAAACTTGAACTCCCAGAATGCGGGCTATCCCGGGTGCGAATCTTCATGGTCTATCATGCCCTAATGACTCCCAACGTACATCTGGCAACTTGTTTTCTCATATAGATATGACTTTGGTAGATTGACATTTGCATGATAAACGTAGGTCATAGGAACATGAATAACACGAATGGATGTGTTCTTTGTTTGGGGGTACCCCCTTTCGGTTTGTTTTAAAGAGGAACTGATAGGCAAATCACAGTGTTTGCCCCCCCTAAAAAAAGACACACCCAAAAGTATACCGTATGCTGGTCATACATGTCTACCTGTAGGGTACAAAAGGTTGTACCCACATTTGCAACAAGCGGGCACAGATCCCCTGCTAAAAGCTTGACTTTTCATGGGCTTTATATACATATATATATATATATGTATGTTTCTCAAAAGTAGCATTTTCCTAGTGATTTTGGCAATTGTCCAGGTTCAAAACCTGGTTGTTGTTTTTTTTGGGGGGGTTGCATACATATACATATATATATATACGTATATATGGCAGCCCCCCACTTCACCATCTTTTAGGCAACTACACCTCAGGAACCGGATGGCTGGTCGAACCAAGATGCGCTTGGTGGGGTTTTAACCACGCCATGTGGATTCCGAACCTTTGATGCCCTCAAAAACATAAGAATAATTTTAACGCACGCCATGTAGGGAATCCCTACAAGCTCTGGCGTACGCTCCACAAAAGCCTTCGGTTTAGTGCTCGATTCTTTTTGACCCGCGTCAAGAAGCTTTGGAGGCTGTCTTCCCTGCCATGGTCGCCTAATTATCAACAAAAAGGCCCAAGTTGGCCAAATCAGCAGGTACGAATAGGTTGCCATTCCCTTCAACTCCCCTCACGCTTTACAGCTCATGGTCGTGCGTATTTGGCTATCCTGAACGGGGTCAAATAATTCCATGAAACAAAATGACCACGAAACAAACCCATTTGGAAGCTCTGAAATGGTGGGTGTCCTTTTGGTTTCCCTGTAAACCAACCTCAAAAAGGGTACCCACAACAAAGACAGACCCATATCGCCTTTTCGAATGGCTTTCACTTTTGGTCAGTCTGACCCAGCATGACCCCCGTGACCAACGTCTGCCATTTGTGAGTCATATGGTATCGTGTAAACCGCGACGTGCAGAAAAGCGCGCAACGCGAACGCGCGCGAAACGGTCGAAAAAAGAGTTCGCGACCGACCGAATCTCTGGGCCCAATCCGAGCCTTGCTGATCTGCGGCGCACCAATGTCTGGGCAGGGAGCGAAAGACCCGATGTTTGATTTCAGCCCGCAAATGGCACCTCCATTTGAGGCTGGAAAAAGGGAGAAAATGTAGCTAGGATAGCTTCCCTTTGTCCCATGGGAAAACAACACATATAAATGAGCAATGGAAGGCACGTAGCCCTCACTCAAAGGGAACCAGCTCAAAATTTTGCGGAACTCCTTGATTGTGGTGGGCGGTTGGCAAATTTCTTGTAGACATTCCTGGTTCCTATGACGCACAGAACTCAAGGCCTTATTAAGCCTTTGGGGGGGAGCGTTCCTGACGGGTCAGGGGCCTTGGGTTACCATGCAGACATTTTGCTGGAAAAAGACCTCATAATCTGAAGCAGCCACACAACGCCAAGGTGAAACCTTTTCGGAGCAAGGATGGTTGTCAAGAACTGCTTCAACATCAGTTCCCTTTGAGACGATCATTCTGATTTAGGTATAAACCAACGTCTTATCCAGATGATATGTCTGATTTGGGTCTGAACCGGCCTACCATGGAAGATTCTCCAAACACAACAAGTGTGTTGGGACCGAGGCACCACTCAAAGCAAAAAGTTCGCATTTGGGATATCTTATTTACTGTCTTTTCTCTCCCTTTCCTTGCTCTTTACCTTTGTCTATCCCACCCACTTGACCAAGTCAGGGCCCCCCAAAACACAACTCTGACCCTGATGTGGTCCTAGGGTCTTGTGGTGGTTTGGAAGCTTCTCAAGATAGCCCTCCCAAGAAAAGTAAGGAAGCCGCTCTCATGTTCGCCAAGCTGCGATTGTCCTTGAGCATCGTGTCTCAGCTGGGGCAAGATATCAAACTCCAAGGATCCCCATATATGGGTGTTTTTTTTCTTGTTGGTCCCCTCGTTGGTTGGTTTTGAACGGAAACCAGAAGGAAACCAACCATCTTGGTGGTTGGATTCCTGAAAAAAAAAAACATGGCTCTCTGTGGTTTTGAACATCACCGTTTGGGCCAACTTACAGTGAGTCTCCTTTTGATAAGCTGGTTGCAAGTGGAAATACAGGGAACCCTCTCGTCCACCGATCAAGCCTTTCACCCCTCAAGTTCAGACAAGGTTTCTGTTAGTCTTTCAGAAGCTTGGGAGGTCCCTCAAAATCTAAACCATCCGAGGTCTGTTTTTGTGGAGTTGGTACCCCTTTTTGCAGGCCAGAGGAAAACCATAGGAAAACCGGAGCCTTTTGTGTCTTGTGTGTTTTTGGGGGGGACCACCAGAGAAGACATAATATATATATATATATATGTGTATATATGTGTGGGGGTTGATCGAAAGGTCCTTTGCATGGGTTGGTTGTTGGGAAAAACCACCAAAAATGTGACATGTCCCACATGGGCAAAGTTACCCATGGTCATGTAGCTTTGGGGGCCGAACGACATATAGATCAAGCCCCATGTACATATTCGCCACAATTACCCTCCTGTCCATTCACATGCACCAAAGGGTCCCTGTTGAAGGGCATAGTCTTCCAGGACCACCCTGTGATGCAATGTTTGTGGACAGGAGGGTAAATGTTCTGTGTCCTCTTGGTGAGTAACCTCCTCATCCAGCTGAGTGGCGAAAACCTCCTCGACGTCTCGTAACATGGTTCTTGTAGATGAAGCAGACAAAGCTCCAAACCACCAATTATAACCGTCACTCTAGTTGGTGGTTTGGTTTGGTGGTTTGGACGTTCGGGATGGCTTCTCCATCATCTGGCTTCAAGAAAGGATCTGGGGTTCAAATCCAAATGCAAACCACCGAGTAAGCTCGGCTGTTTTCTGCTCCCTTGCAAAAAGCTTAACTTTTAGTGGTTTGCCGGAGAACCCATTCGTTGCCAACAAGTTAAAGTCCTAACATCCAAGCAAAATGCACCAAAGTAAGGGGTTTCCTGATATTTGAGGAAAGCTGAAGTCATCTCAACCTCACCAACCTGGAGCCGACCCCGTCTCAGGCTCCACTCGGGAGATGTCTCTCGAAGAATCTACACGACAAACTAAGACCCCATGAAAGAACCCGACTGCGTTTTGCAGCCCACTAAAAGTGAACAGAAGCCTCGGCCCTCAGGGCCGGGAAGCGGTCAGACCCTCCAAACCCCTTCCGCGCTTCAAAATTGGTCCATCCAACCCCCTTCCCGGACCTCATGTTGCGCAGCCAGAATCCCTGCTCCAGCTGCCTCCAGTCCGCTTGAAGCAAGCCTCAAAGCCCCAGGGTGAATCGGTCAGCCCCTCCTCCAGTCAAATCCCGGTCAAATCCTCCTAAAAACCGGTCAAATTCCCCCTCTAGAATGTGATCAAATCCCCTGTAGAAACCGCAGAAACCGCAGAAACCAGTCAAGAAACCAGTCACATCACCCCAGAGACCGGTCAACTTCCCATCTAGACCAGTCAAATCCCCTCTAAAGACCGGCCCAACTCCAGCCAAATCCCGGTCAAATTCCCCCTCTCAAAGCCGGTCTCAACTCCGGTCACAGAAACAAATCGAATCCCTTGGAAACCAGCTCGCGCATTTTGGCGCCGACTCACTTAGTCTAACAAACACAAGACTTTAAGGTAAACTAAAGCACGGTGTATACCTCAAAGCCAGCCAAAAGCGGACTGGCCAAGGCGGGCAACGCGAAGCGTTTACAATCAAAACATGATCCAACAATGGTGAAGAAATTGATTGTGGAAGCCTAAGAGCCGTCTTTAGATGGACCTCCGTTTGGGAATCGGACCCCCTTGTTGAGCTCCGGGTAAATAAAGCCGGGGACCCACCAAAAGTTTGCAGCTTGCCAAGTCCATGAGTGAAGCAAGAACCGTAATGGAATGGGGGGGTTCCTCTATGCCGGGTTCCCCTCAAACCAAGTGTTGCAACAAAAAGGATCTTTTGAGATTGCATCTTTGACCTTAGCTATTTCCAGTGGCAGTTCTGACTGGGTCTGTGGCATAAGGTTCATTCACTTCCGCGCAAATAAACACAAAACAGAAAGTCAAACAAAAGCACGGATTGTGTTCAAGAGAACAGACATATATGTCCTGTTTAACCTGTGTCCAATTTCTGGAAGTTTCAGCAGTCAAATCATGTCTTTCTGCTGCAAGGTGGCGTGCCGATTCCAATTCCTCGGCTGGCAGGCGTGTCTCCACTCACCCTTCAAGTATTAAAGGTCATGCAGTGAAAGTCGAGATACGGCTGAATCCCAAAATATTGCAAGTAGGGAAACAAGTGAAAGCTTCGAGTTTCTTGGCCGCATTCGGGTGAAGTGCGCCTGCAGCATCAACATCGTTGCCTTGATGAGGATTCCCCATATTGTCCCCTTGCTATGAAGATCGCCTTGCAAGGCTCCCTTGGGGAGGTTCCCTTAACGAGGGTTGGAAGAATATCGGGACCTTCAGATCATCTCAAGAACTTAAAGCGCGGCTCGCCGTGAAACGAGTCGGGATCTGCTATCCAAACTGGTGACGGAGAAAAGGGCCGCCCGCTTTTTTCGGGTTGAATTTCAAGGGAAAACACCAAGAAGGTTGAAACCAGAAAATGCGGGTGTCTGACCTGCAGAACAGCGGACCATTGTTGGAATTGTTTCAAAACAAAGGACCCCCACCCTTCAAGTCAAATGGAGCCTGATGTCCCCTTAGCTTTGGGATCCGGATCGAATCCCAATCCATCCGAAGTCGGAAGAAAAACAAAACAAACAAGCAAAAATGGCACAAGCATTACTCTATCCACAAACATGGAACCTCACAGGGGACTCCTGGAAGACAATTGTGCTTTAAAAGGGACCCCTAAGAGGTCCCAGGTGAGTGGACCGAAGGGTAATCGATGTTGAGCAATCTGGGTATCCCTTCGAGATCCTTAGCTCTAGGTGTTACCATGGATGGTTTCCCCCGGTTGCAAGCCTACAGTGGCGAAACGCCAATCGGAAGCACTGGAATACTTCCATGTGGCTGTGGGTCAAAACATAGGTACCCCAAATGGGTTGCCCTGGAAAATGGCAACATGGACTAAAACCTGCGTAGCCCTTGCCCTTCCATTTTGAGCCACACCCAAATGAAACCCTGGTGTGTCTTCACCCGACGGATACCTAGTCCATATCCTGGTGCGACTGCGGATGGACGAAATCCTGCACAACCATTGTTCGTTGCCATTACAGGGAAAACATCTGAATGGTGGTGCGAAATGGATTTCGCAACCATCCACAGCATCATTTTGGATCCGAGGAGCCGCACAGGCTTCGTTAATGACATCCTCGCGCGCGTCCCCCGAGAGGCCGTCGCTCTTCATCAGGCGATGACACACCTACGGTCTGCTACAGGCTCCATTGGCTCGCGTTGCTGTTTGGCATTGTGTTGTCGTGTTTGTGTTTTGTGTGTTTTGGGTGGTTTTTGCTTTTTGTTGTTCTTGTGGTTTCTTTTTCCGGAGGGTACTCGGTTGAGGTTGGTTTGAGGGGTAACCGGCTACCCAAAACCACAATTTGTGGGGTCCTCTATGGTCCCCATGTTGACACCCAGAAAAGGAGATTCTCTCGAAATATGAGGGGACCCCGGGTCTATAAAAGTGACATCCTCAACATGACCCTCTAAATGGTGGCGAAAGTACGGGCTTCCCAGACCCAGAAGCCCTCAACAATACCAGGGACCCGAGGAGCCATACCCCAAACGCCCCCCCCCCTACCTGCAAGGCCTTGAAAAGGCTCACGAGAAGTCAGCCGAAAACCTTCAAGGAAAATGCCCGGTTACTCCTCTTGCCGATCGATCCACTGGATGTACTCTTGGAACATGGGCTTCCCAAAACTGGCGCCACACCTGCAAGCTCAGCTTTCCACCCATACACCGGTGTTAACGCAACAGGCGGGCTGTGGGAAAGGGGTGTTTGGAGGGTTGTGTGTGAGAGCACCCAGTTCTTGTATGGATATGTCTTAGAGGGACCCCCCGAAAATGAGTGGTATACCTTTGGCTGCCTTTAAAACTACCCTCTCCTGAAAACGCCAGTAGGGGCTTATGGTGGAAACCACTGTCCGGGACTGCACATGGGATTTCCCACGAATCGGAAGGGGTGTTCAGGTTGCACGTTGGAAGAGTACCTTCCTCCCTGCGCGGTGTATCCCATATCTTTACATTGCCATACCTTGCCTTGTCATACCGCATCGCCTCCGTATCATCACGCATTGGGGTTTGGCTCAAATTGATGTGCCAAAATGGCACCAAAAGGTACATGGAGCCCCGAAGACTAAGGCCTGCGTAACCCCAGCTCTTTAATTTTGAGCCACAGCCACAGCCGGGCCGCTTCCTAGAGTCAGCTGAGTCACACTCAAACCTGGCATCGCAAAAAAAAAACAGAGGAACCGTAAAGGTTGTCCCTCCCCCATCTTGAGACATATCCACATGCGGTCAAAGGCTATGGCGGAAGCAACCGTTGACCTGTGACCATGGGGGCTAGCCCTGGAGAAGCCCAGGAGTCGGCTTGGACGCCCTATCTGGTCCACCTGAACATGTGTCCTGAGAAGCAAGTGGGTTCCTTTCAGTGGGATATGCAATGAGTTACAGAACCAAGCTGTATCTGTTGAAGAGCCTTGCGACACCATTATGCATCTCCAGGACGATAGGAACCTCACAGCGATCTTACAACAAACATCCGGCATAGAACCAATCTAAACCGGTGGAACCCATCTATTTCTAACCAAAACCGATCAAAAGGACACCCATGCTAAAGGTCCCCCATTTTGAGAGATTCTTCTTTTCCGAAAGCTCCCACAGTTTACGATCCTTGGATCAACTTCCTTGGCAGCAAACAACTCTGCTTCTTGCAGGACCCCCACCCCCCCCCCCACCCCCCCCCCTACCCCACGAAAAATGAACGTATCCCACAAAAAAGAAAACTGATGAAGCTAAACTCAAAATGTACAACTCACAAATGAAGAACTCACAAGCTAAAGAAGATGCCTAGATCATAATTCGGCTTAGCCTAGCTACGTTTCCGCACGTGGCGATTGAGAAAGCAAACAACTTTTTGCAGCAGCAGCACCCCCACAATGAACAACTCTCAACAAGCTAAAAATGATGCCAAGAAAAAGCAGTTTGTCGTCAACCCACACAGCACGGGAACGAGCGAGCCGACCGCTCGAGCGGTCACCAAGCCGCTGTGTGGTGCGCATCGATAAAGGCCACCACGGTGAAGAGGTCGAAGGAAAGGCCCCCACTCACCGTGACGGGTGCAAACCTGGGACAATTGTTATAGATTTTAAGTGTAATATGTATATATATATATACATATAGGGTATGTGCATATATATATATATATATGTGTGTGTGTGTACATTGTTCAATTCGCCAAGCTACAAATTAACAAATGTATTAATTGAATATATGAGTGGACATAAGTTTAATAAACATGAATTAAATGAAATATTCGAGGGAGCTGGAAATCCGAAAATCCCTTCTGGGCGGGGTGGTTTGGGGGGGAGGGGATAAGACACCTGAAGGAACCCGAAAAAAACCTTAGGAAACCTTGAGGAACCCCAAGACACCCAAGGAAACCAAAAAAAAAAACAGGGCTCTTAAACACCCCACCCCCCACCCCCACCCATCCACCCGCTAAACAGCCCATAACAATAAGCCAAAATAGTGTGTTCCAATCCACATGTGCCCAACGTTGCTGTGTCTTGCGTAGCCACCTAAGCATGAACAGAACCGCAAAAAGAAACATGCCAGGAGCAGTGATGGTATCCCCAAGTGGCTCGTCTTTGAGCTGATACCCCAGTTTTAGTGGTGTTACAGGAAAACCAACAGGAAAACCAGCAGTTTGGGGGGGGGGGGTCCCTACAAAACGACACACCCACAAAAGAACCCCTGTGCTGATCTCAGTGCAGGGTGCGCAAAGTAGGGCGACAGCATCTCACGGACCTCGGAATCGCTCAATCCCAGTAGATCCCAGGCTTTTCACCAGCAAGGCAAGCAGCAAGCTTCCCATCTGACAACGGATGGACAAGTTCCTGGTGACCGATACAAGGAAACGTCATTGGGGGCCATAACGAACTCCTGTCCAAGCCAATAGGACACGACTTAAAAACACATGGGTCGTGTCCATTTTGCTTGAGGGACAGATACAAGAATCCCTCAGCAAATTGACGATTGTACGCTCTTGCGATTTGCAACGCGGCGGTTCTATTCTCAACGGCTGGTGTTTTTTTTCTTTTCGCTTGAACCCCAAATTGGCCATACTTCACTTGCCCCACGGTTTCACCCGGGTTGCGTGCGTGCCAAGATGAATACACCCCTCAATATGGGAGTGGTCCCCTCCAGTGGTCTGAACCCCCACCGGACACCTGGATGCGCCGAATTCTTTTCGGGCGCCCTGCCGGGCCTGCCATCCACGGGAAGGTGATGGGAAGGTTTTCAGGGCCCGCTTTTTCCGGAGGTGGTCCTTGAAAAGGGAAACACGGGGCCATTTTTTTCCTTGACAACCTGCTCATTCGGAGAACTGAGCTGAAACATGGCTAGGCCTTCAAGCAATACCAAAAAAAACCTCGACTTCTTGCTGCTCGCCCTTGGCAATTGCCCGGCAACTTTTTTGCGGGATCCGACTCTGCGGACTCACGGGTCCCTGTCGGTATCAACGAGTACTCAAGGAGTGACAAAAAACATCAAGAGGGAATGAGGACATGACCAAGAACCATCTCTTATATCTTCTCCGTTCCTTTCACACTAAACTCTTTCCCATCCGCCTGCTCCTCTTCTGAGAAGCAACACAATCCAGACAAGTCAGCATAGGCAACAGCCATCTTTCACCAGGTGTCTCATGGGTGGTTTCCTCGCAATCCCGTGGCTTGCTTTCCACACCTTGCGCGTGAATGCCCTTGTGGACCCCCAAGCTCAGCCCGGCCTTCACCAGAATGCTGCCTCTGCCTCGCGAATGGCCGATTCTGGAGAAACGGAAATCTCTAGGGGGTTGATTTCCCATTCTTTTCAACCGTCGTTCGAGGAAAAAGAAAAAAAAGCTGTTTCCCTGGGTTTCCGGAGGTTTCCTAGAAAGAAGGATCCCTGGAAAGAATGAGGAATGCACGCCTGGAAAATCAGACGCTTCCCATCTGCAGTCACTGTCGTGTCCCTGTTTCCACTTGCCAGGGTTGCATTTTGGGGTTACTATATTTTTGACTCACAGCAAAAAAACGCCAAACCTTCCGAGCCAGAAAAGCGCCTGCTGTTTCGTTGGACATTCGGGCGCATTTTTTAGGTCTCCCAGTTCAACACCTCCGAGTCGCCGCGTGGAAGCCTCCCCCTTAAAAAGTCGCCGTTTCGGGGACCCGGAATCCCCAGCAAAAAAAAAAGAACGGCGGCGGTAGGAAGCTTAGCACAAGCTAAGCAGGCTCAAAACCTGTTTCTAGAGATGCAAAAGTGCAAAGAGGCGAATGAAACACCCTCTATTGAATAATCTGCGAGGCGTTTTCATGGGTCCTCGTGACTTCGGGGATCCCAAAAACTTCCTGCAAGGCTCATGGCGCATGACCCCAATGCAACCGCCGGTTCCCGTCCCATGCTTCACCTGCGAGAGTGGGCCTGCGTTTCAAATATCGCAAGGCAGCCCTGGGAAGGAAAAGCAACATGCAGATGGGCGGGGGATCCTTTGTTCCAGGATTCGCACCGGGACCCGAAATGGCTAGTCTCGGTGTTTGCTGTTGGTGTTCCTTTAAAGCCAATAAAGAAGGGTACCCTCAAAAACATACACATTGAAAGGAGCTGACCAAATTTCTTCCCTGTTGGTTTCATCACGCTTTGAGCTGTTCGGAGCAGCCCTGCCAATATTATATGGTGTGTGGCTATGCTATGGGCACCCTGAACGTTGTGATTTCCTTTTTGCTCCCCTTTTTAACGTTTAAACCAATCTTGGGTTCCCTCCAAAAACGCACACCTTTTCTGGGTGAGTCTTTTTCTTGAGCACCTTTGGGGTTAATTCTTTCGCGGAACAGGGAAACCAGGTCCCCCTAGTTTCGGATAAGCCCATGACTCCTCCGCTATGCAGCCAGGCCACGCTTCAGAAGCTGCGGCTGGAGGATCTTCCAATCCTGAGGCGCTTAGAGCAGTGAGTGCGGCGGGGGGGGGAGTTGATTGGTTTCCCCAAAAAAAGCTTAATGTCCAGGATCTCAGGGAGTGAGTAATGATGACCCCCTAACAATCAACCCCTGTATATTTGAGGGGTGTCGGATTCTGGGTTCAGTGGGGAATCGTCACTTGAGGGGTACATGTTCTGGTGTCCCACTCCAACAGTGGGATTTCCCACTGAACCCAGGTCGACACCCCCCTATTGATAAACCCAATGTGGGGTCAACATGATTGCATCGACAGGTTGGCTCAACCTTCCATCCTGCGAGTTGGAGTTGGTGCTTTCTGGGGAGCAGCTTTTCGTGGAGAAACCAAAACGAACAGGGATTCATCTAGGCCACTGAACAACCGGATCCGGATCTCCAGCTTCCCATCGCTCCAAAACTTGAGCTTCGTCTCACCCTGCCAACAGTCACCCGCTCCAAGGCTCTAAGGCTCCGTCTTCCTATGGACCTTTGGTACCTGAAGGTTGCCTAGGCCTGTTGATCAAAAGCTGCTCATCATCGCATGGGGTGAAACCCTAGGGAAGCCGCGGAAAATGATGAGACTTTCACCAATGGGAAACGTGGGCCATGGTCAGCCTGAGGCCTCTAACGGAATTTTGCGCAACCCCCATATAGGCCTTATCCTTAAACAAGGTGGAACACCCAAGTATCAAAGGAAGCTTAGAAAAGGCGAAGTCCAACTCAAGCTGGGTGAGTTTCCCCTTGGCCCGGACAAAAGAAAACATCTCGGGGGTTCTTTGTTTAGGAGACCGCCTTAAATGGGTGTTTTCCATTTGGTTCCCCTGTAAATCCACCAAGGGTGCTCTCAAAAATGACAAAAACCCAGCTTCCCTTTACCCAGCGTGACTCCAGAACCCAACCACTAAACCAGCGGTGAACTGCAAAACCCAACCACTGAACCGACCAAAAACACCGAAAAACCCAAGTCTATCCGTCATTCCGCTGGGACCCGGATCCGTGCCATCTTTTTGGGGTGCGAGGCGCGCTCAAGCAAGTGTGCAGTGCCCAAAACCCTTTTACTTCTGTTTCAACCAGCATGGCGATAAATTTACATAGCCCTTGCTGTAACCCTTGTCAATCCAGGTAGGCAAAACCAATGACCATTGGGGATGTTGGGTGCCCGTGTTGGACACCACCAAGGCTACAAAGATATTTCTGCCGAAACCGCGCGTGGTTGAACCTCCTCCTATGGCCAAGAGGGATCAGGTTCGCCTGGAATTCCTAGATGCCCTGATGGTTTCTCTTGGCTGTAGCTGCTCCCCTAATAGTTTCACTTGTGGCTTAAATGCAAACCCAAACAACCTTTCACCCACTAAAACACCTCAAAACCCAAGTTGATCCGTTTTTCGCCCGGAAAAAAACACACCGCGTTCCTTTTGGACGGAGGTGTTCCGCCCGGATCCGCGCGGATCCCCCAGAGCCGCGCGAATCCCGGACGGCCCCCGCTCCCCGCTCTTCGGGGTGCGAGGCGCGCTCAAGCCCAGCGCCGCGAAGTCGTCCGCCGCGTCCACGGAGCCCAGCAGCAGCTCAGCGCCTCGGACGGAGCAAACCGGACTCCCCCGGTTGCTTCTCATCGAACGATTCGTTGGTGGGTGGGTTGTTGGTGTGCTTTGCTTGGTTGGTTGGTTGGTTGGTTGGTTGGTTGGGGGGTGGGTGGGTGGGTGGGTGGGTGGGTTGGTGGGTTGGTGGCTGGGTTGGGGGGTGGATTAGTTGGTGGGTTTGTTGCTGGTTTGGTTTGTTTGGTTGCTTGGTTGCTTGGTTGCTTGGTTGCTTCGTTGCTTGGTTGCTTGGTTGCTTCGTTGCTTGGTTGCTTGGTTGCTTCGTTGCTTGGTTGCTTGGTTGCTTGGTTTATCCGCCGCCAGTTTGCGTCGGAGCTTTTGCATCGAACGCTTTGGGCCCCGGGTGTTTGCCTTTTCTCATCGGAAGCCGCAAGGAAAAAACACAACCGCCAGGGGTCCAACCCCAGGCATGAAAACCACCAAAAGAAGGGCAAGGACCCGACTTAGATGATGGAACTCCTTAGGTCACGGTGGTTAGATTTTGAACCCCGAGGTAGAGGAACCAAGCTTCTTTGGAGGAAATTAGTTGATTCAATCACCTGGAATTGATGTGTTTGGCGTTTGGAGAACAAAAAAGGTGAGAAAAAAAATATCGAAGATGTTTTAACAGGGTTTTCAGTGGTCAGGGGACTTTGTCCGGGGTTGTTTTAGGGTATGGGTGGTTGCAAGTCCTCCTCGGGCAAGGAAGTTCTTTAAAAGCTGAGTCCGACAAGTGGGGTTCGGACAGTCCTAACGGCAAGCCGAACCTGCGCTTGCTCCAAAAGGCTTCGGTGTGCTTCCTGATTTGCTCCGAAGATGCAAGAAAATGCGGTGTCTGCCCGGGCATTCTGTGCTTCCGATTGTGTTTTCCTTGAGCTGTCCCGGAAACAAAAGGAGGTGGTTGACAAACAATAGAGGTTAACTTCACAACACTTGGTATGGGCTAGCAAAGACGGTGTTTCTTGCAGCCCACCAAAAATGAACAGAGCCAACAAGCCTGAAAACCTAAACACATGCCAACAACCGTGACGTTAAATATGTTTTCCGGCAATTGCCCAACCCTGGTTACCCTGCTTGGGGTTGGGGTTCGGCGCAAGTTCTGGGGATTGCCATTCTCGTCCAGGGAAACCGGGTGCAACCAGCCGTGCCTTCCGCGCGGATAGGCAGCATACCGCAGTCCATGAGGCGGATGTACTCCGCGCCTAGCGATTTTGCCCAAGAAATTTAGGCGAGACCTGTCTTGAGGAACAGCAAAGGCCGGTTTAAATATGTTGAAGCAACTTTTCACACCATGTCATGAGGAAAACAGGGGCTGGCTGTTTAAGCACGTACTGCCTGCTGATTCGCAGCATGATCCATGACCCTTCGTGTCACTATCGCTCCACATGGGACAAAAGGCGCGCCCTCTGGTTCCACCCAAGACCAGCAAATGGATGCTTTAGAGGAAAGGGCAACCAACCTCTTCTTGGACCCGCAAAACGAACAAGCAAAGGGGCCACTTCAAGACCGCATAGTCAAATAATTCAATACCGGGGCTGCTTGACCCGCGATGCCTGAGCAAACATCGTGAAAAAACTCGAGTAAACATGATGTGATGATGATGATGATGATGATGATGATGATGATGATGATGATGATGATGATGATGATGATGATGAGACGAGGATGACGATGCCGACAACGATGATGCTGCTGTTGCTGCTGATGCTGCTGATGCTGCTGATGCTGCTGATGCTGCTGATGATGCTGCTGATGCTGCTGATGGCTGCTGATGCTGCTGATGCTGCCGATGCTGCCGATGCTGCCGATGCTGCCGATGCTGCCGATGCTGCTGTGCTGCTGATGCTGCTGATGCTGCTGATGCTGCTGATGCTGCTGATGCTGCTGATGCTGCTGATGCTGCTGATGCTGCTGATGCTGCTGATGCTGCTGATGCTGCTGATGCTGCTGATGCTGCTGCTACTTAACACTGGTGCTGTCATTTGCATGTCCAGGACCAGCAAAAAATGACACGCTTGCGGAGCATATCCTTTCAAAACTACAGTGGTGAATCGGACAACAACTTGCACTTGAGCAACCCCCATCCATCCACAAGAGGCACACGCAAACACGCTCACACAACATGGGTATACGTCAAAGGTGATGCCCCTTTGAACCAATCTCAAGGGTACAAAAAAACAAACAAGGTATCAACTCAAAAAGCAACAAAAACAAAAACACGGGTACCAACTCCAACAAAAATCGCTGGAGAAAAAAACACAAAGCAAAAATCCGAGGCGCGCAACATCGAGAGGTACAGCTTCCGGTACACCACGCGCTCCTGCGGGCTTTCAGGGCTGCGCGGCTCGGCTGGTGTTGCGTGCCTTTCGAAGCCGCCGGATCTCCCTAAGGATCTGAGCAAACCAGGACAAAAGGGGGAGACAGGTTCACCGCATCAAATAAAACGCTCGAGAAAGAAGCTGTAAAAAATCCTGCCGGCGCTTTGTGAAAGGCTTTTTGAGGGTTGGAACTGTCCCTTAACTGACCTGGCATTGGGCTCCCCCCTCTTTCTGGGCTTCTGGCTTCTTCTTTTCCCAAAAGCAGATTCCTGTAGCTGTTGCGGGACCCAAACAAAAAGAAAAACAAAAAGAAGCTTGAGCTTAGGGAAGCAGGTATCTTCCAAAACATGAGAGGGTCAAACCAAAGAGCAAAACCTAAGGACCTAAGTGTTTGCTCAACATCATGTTTCGACCATGGTGAGGTGAGAAGCAGGGTTCAAACGCACAGATCTTGCAAGGAAACACCCTGGCGCCCGATTGTCACAAGCCTGCTCCCTGCAAATCTGGTTGATGGTTCGTCGCTACAAAAAATCCATGCATCAAGCTTTGACTTGTTCAAAGGGCGCTGTCCCGCACACCTTTTTCAAAAGTCCGGAACACGTTGACCTTGGATCCTCCCCCCTACCCACAGGCACTTCAGACTGAAGACCGTTTGAGTGGCGCTTGATCCAAATGGACACCCGCTGGGAATGGGAAACTCATCACGAGTGAACGGTGAAAGAAGCAAACACATAGCAGCCGAGTAAGGGACATCTGTTGGCCCGTGAATACACCCGACACCCCTTTTTTAGCGAGAATCCGGATCGCGAGCCCCTATTAAAACGGGGACGCCAGATTCAAAAAAAAACGTCGTCTGAATCCCCACTAAAAAGGGACAGCCCCTGTTCATCAACCAGTTTATTCATCCGGCGTCAGCATTTTTTTTTGGGTTATTCATCAACCAGTTTATTGATCCGGTTTTTTTCCTTTTTCATGTGGGTTTCCCGTCATAATTATCCCCATCGTCCTGGTGAGTGCCTCGGACCGCGAAGCCGAAGCGCTTCTCAAAGACCGAGCTGGGGCCGCCCTTCTGGATCTGGGCCTCAAGCGAAGGGCGGCAACGAATTTCTCTTCGGTCAGCTCGCCCAGAGACGCCCAGCTTCCCTTTGGTGGGTTTGGAGCCGAATCAGGTTGGAGGTGGTTTCCCATTGCTTCCCTCGAAACGAATTGGCGGTAAACCCCCAATTCCCCAGCAGAACCAGGACTTCAAAATCCAAATCCAAACCACCAATCCAAAGCACCGGGGCCACCTGAGCTTCAACTCAAAAACCCAACCCCCGAAACGCGATGAGCTTGACCTCCCGGGTTGACCTCCCGGCCACCTCACCTCCAACCCTTTGGCTTCAAAAGGGGACCTTCTGTAGCTCCTCCGCAAAAAAAAAAAAAAACAAGTCCTGTGGATGGTTGCGAAGTCCGTTCGCACCACCAAATGAAACATGGCTGAAATCAGAAGGTGTCTTGGCTGTCTTGGTGTTTAGTGGGGAATCGAATCCTTCCAGGGTTCCTGAACGGTGTTGCGAGATGGGTTTCGCGACCATCCGCAGTGTCTCCAAAACATCACCGCAAGTGGGTTTCAGATGGCAACAAAAAGAAGACGCACGTACATGTTATCGAGGACAAGTGCAACGATCCCTCACCCAGGTCGAGACCTCCTATCCACAATTATGGAACAAAGGGCTCCTAGTGGGTTCCATGGCAAAGTTGACTGTAAAACAATCCCGGTTTGGGCTCGGGCGCAGGGGTTGAGAAAAGTTGGGCTTCTGGCACACGGGGCGTGTTTTGCTTTTCTGCGCGGCGAACATAGATAGACCACTGATGTGGTTTGCAGTTGACTCATCTGCAAAAAGTGCTTATTTTGTTATAATTCAAAAGAAAACCCTTGATTGCCCAAAAAGCCATAGTCTAAAGATCCAAGCCAATACCAATGAAGAACTGATGTGGCATGCAGCTATCATCTTCACGTGTCCCTTTTGGAAAAGTCCGATGTCACCGTTGCGCAGCATTGTTTAAACAAACAGACCATGCCCCCGGTTTTCAGGGAAACCAAAAGGCTGTTTTAGCACATGTCAAAAGGTGTTGAACAGCTGCCCCCACCCTCAAGGGCCAGCTGGTTTATCCCAAAACAAAAAGCCAGAACTTCTACCGGGAATCCGCCAAGATCCCAAAAAAGGCCGTCAAACGATTGTCCCTACCAAAGGTTCCTAAAACTTTTGTTTGTTTGTTTGGCGCCGGGCGGCCGGCTGCACCTCCTCGAATCCCCACCACCAATGCTCCTGGCACAGGTGCCCTTTCGAGGCTTTCTCGGTTGCATTCTGCTCCCCTGCTAAAAGTTTAACTTTTAGTGGTTTAATTCGGAAAACCCATTAGTTGGCAAAAAAGTTATTCAGCCCTAACATCCCTTGGCAAAATGCACCAAAGTCTTGGTTTAGATGTTCCACTGGTGTAGTCCGCCTAACACCCCTTTGATTGCGCCCTGAAAAAAATCACCCAAGTTTCTAGCCCATGTCCTGATTGGTGTTTGGTTTTCTTGGGATTTGTTGGGGCAATTTCCCCAGAGTGTACTCCCAGGGTGTCATAGGAAAGTCCTTGGAAGAACGAGGTCAGGGACTTGAAAACCAACCTCAGGCGTGCAAAAGGTGATCACGATAAAGCAGGAAAGTCTGCTGTTTTGTTTTGTGTTGTTGTCTTTTTGTGTCAGCAGCAGTAAGATGTGTTGGCATTGGCCAACATACAATGCAACAAGCAAACAAGCCAAGGAACTCACAATCAATTAAGATGACCAACACACATTCTCAGAATCAATATGCAAGTCACGAGGAATCAATCAAACAACTCACCTATGTTGGTGGTTTGGGCCATACAACAGCCAAGTTCACATATTCAGATTGATAAGGGTACGTGAACCGGAGAGAACCCAGTGTGTGTGTGTGTGTGTGCGCGTGTGGGAGAAGAAACCATTCGAGTTGCTTTTTAGTCTTCTTTTTTTAAGAAAAAAAAACTGCGGGTGAACAAGGCTCAAGTTGTGACTAGACTCTCTCAACCACAGCCGTCACTGAGAAAGAGTCCCATTCGTGGGGTTGAGCTATGAGGTCGAAGCCCACCATATAAGAAAAGAGTGTGCCAGCAGATGCAAATCGGCTTCGGAGATACAACGAAAACAACCAGTTCGGATTGGAACCAAAAAGGGGCTTCGACATTTTGAGAAGTTATGCGGAAGTTTTGGAACAAGATGGGTTCGAAAGGCGGTGCAAAACCTTTCGCGCCGAGCCCAGTGACTTGCTAGTGCTCAGCAAGGAATGAGGGAATGACCCCTACAAACCACCTAGAACTCTAGGGGTTGATTCCTTTTCCATTCTTTTCAGCCATCGTTTTTTTCAAAAACCGATCGCCTTTTTTTTGAGGGTGTTTGGTGGTGTTCTAGAAAGATTCGGATCCCTGGGTTCAGAATGGAAATGGAAAAGCTACCCCTAGAAGAACTTCCTTGAGGGGACCAATTGGGTTCACATTCCCTGCCTATCGCACACATCTCAGTCCTTGGACTTGGCCTTCTCCTCCCCCTCAGCCGCCTGTGGCGTGGTGCCTGGCGTCGAACAGGACGGGCACCCGGACAAAAGTCCATTCCAAGGAGAAAAACACGGCGAAAGAGGCAAAAGCCGAGCCGAGAAAACCGGCTCAGAACCTCGCCTGTGAAAGCAGGCCAAAAGAAACTGCGGCCTGCTAGCGCCACAGGTTGAAATAGGAGATGATCATAGAAGCAATCCTCTAGTAACTATGCGTGCACTGCGTCACTGCCTTGTCCAACAATAACGCCAACCATCTTCGCCCAAAGTCTTTCCGATGCCCACCGTGGCCATCGTCCTTCGTGAAAAATGGATCGTTGCCATGGGGTTGACGAACCTCCCGTCGCACAGGGCGGCGGAAAGCTGAGTCTGGCGAAACACTCTCAAGGTGGCAAGGGCAAGGGCAAGATGGTGCTGATTTCTTGGGGTTTTAGGCTGCCACGTGCTGGTGATGCCAAAGGGAATCTCCGAAACACCAGGGCTCCATTTTTTTGCACCTAAGTAGTCACAAGGGAATTTAGCCTAGGTGCTATGCGAAGCTGCATGTGGGGAGTCTCTGTGTCCCTCCATGATAAGTAATAATAATAATAACAAAAATAATAATAATAATAACAAAAAAGAAAAAAGAAACATGTTTTTCTACGGACCCGGCCTGTCTCCGCAGCTGGCTCTTGTTTCAGCTCCTTGGGAAGTGCTTTCGGGCCGGGTGACCCCAGAAGAGGCACCGTTTCTGGGGCCGCCAAGCGAAACGGCGAAAAAAAAAAGCTCCTTTTACGGGCCGTGGAAACGGGTTCGGGCCGAATGTTACGAGGGCTGGCCCGAATTGGTCCACCTCGGATCAAGCTCATCCTCTGGTGCCTCAGGACTCAGCAGCAAGCTCCATTGTACAACCACTACATGACGGCGTTACATGCCCAGCGATGATTTTGGTGGGTGGGACGATTTTGGCGCCAACGTTCGGTCCTCCTCCTCCAGCGCCACTTGGAGCTGATCGATCGCTTCCTGGTCTTCGTTGGCACCTGGGGCGCCCAAGCCACAGACGCCCCAAGAACGGGCCCCAAAGCTAAAGGTTTCGGGGCGGATTTCCCACACCGCAACTAACAGTCAAGCCGGTACCAAGAAGGACATGTTTTTGAGGTGTAAGACACAAGCTACCATGTGCAACCATGTGGAGACACATGTCCGAACGCGGGGCGTGCGGGCTGGGGAGATGTCTGGCTGTCAGCACTAGTATAGAGTGGGAAGCCCACATTCAAGATTCTCTGGCAACACAACCCTCTGAACATAGAATCTTCACAATTCAGGAATCATGGGAACCCCGCCCCGAAAGAATCATATGTGCACCCAAAAACAAAAAAGCATTGCTCCCAGCTGGCTGCCCTCTAATGCCAAGAGTATCCTAGAGCCCTCGCCATCACCAGCTTTGCTGGTCCCTTTCCCACCTTCCCACCCTTCCCACCCTTCCCACCCTTCCCACCCTTCCCACCCTTCCCACCCTTCCCACCCTTCCCACCCTTCCCACCCTTCCCACCCTTCCCACCCTTCCCACCCTTCCCACCCTTCCCACCCTTCCCACCCTTCCCACCCTTCCCACCCTTCCCACCCTTCCCACCCTTCCCACCCTTCCCACCCTTCCCACCCTTCCCACCCTTCCCACCCTTCCCACCCTTCCCACCCTTCCCACCCTTCCCACCCTTCCCACCCTTCCCACCCTTCCCACCCTTCCCACCCTTCCCACCCTTCCCCACCCTTCCCACCCTTTCCCACCCTTTCCCACCCTTTCCCACCCTTCCCACCCTTCCCACCCTTCCCACCCTTCCCACCTGATTATTAATAGCGGGGTGTCTCTGGGTTTAGTGGGGAATCATCACTTTTGGAGGAACACCCCCTTTTGATAAACTGCGGTTGATTAATAGGGGGTCAACATTAACCATTTCGAGAGCCGCCTTCGAGATTGATGGCCGCCATGTTGCTGAGGCTGTCCTCCTGTGCGGATTTGATTTGGGTCGGATTCGTCTCTTGGCCCCTTCTTCGGGTGGTTTTTCAAAATTCGGCCTCCCTGAAAAGTGGGCCCCTTAAATATTAGCACAGCGTCAAAATGGCACCTGAAGTCCATGGGCCACTTGGCAGATTGGGGGGCCCGAAAGTTGGCCGAGTTCCTCGTTCCCTGCCTCGGAATCGAATAAATCGCGGCTCCGTTCACTCCGCGCGAGCGCGTTTTCACACGCCTGAGGACACGTTCCAATCAGCCATGGCTGGAAGGTTCCCCAAGCCAAGCCGCTTCCCATGAGGATGTGGCTTTGGTTTGCATCCGGGTGCCAGATTGTCAGTCACAGAAAATGGCAAAGCCTTCAAGTAAACCGAGAATCGGAAAAAAAAACATCTGATTTGCGCAGAATGTGGGGAAAACGCGAATCCTCTTAGAAACGCGTTCGCCTCTGCTTTTCCGTGTGGGAGGATGCCAACTCAACACAGACACGCCATACGAATCCACCGAAAAATCTCCTCGTGGTGGTCGCGATGTTTGCCGTCATGGTGCTCCGACTCCAAGTGCTCGAGCAGTGAGTCCAGCTCAGCCCTGAAAGAAATCTCGCGAAGTTTCCGTGTGTTTTCAAGGTAGCACTTTAACAGCGCAATTTTGTTCTTTGGGAGGGGAGGTGATTTATGAAGGGACACCGAAACCAAGCCAGAAAATACATGGAACATTATAAAAGGTCCGCCATATGGTGGACGCAATTCGTGTCCAATTCGGAGAACCGTCTTTTTGCTTCCCTTCCGAGACGAAAGCCTTAGCCTGCTTGAAACTCACGGTTGAAACTTGCCTGCCTTACAAAAAAAAAAAACTGACCTGAGTTGACTGAGAAAAGCCAAGCAAACCGTCGTGCTTCCCATACGCGTATCAAGACGGGTCGTTTAATGCAATGCCTTCATGTAGATGCCACACAATTTCGCATGTTGCCGCCGGGAAACGATCCTCTCCTCTCGGAGACACGCGGACTTGTCAGCGGTCATGAAGGGAAGCTCTGGTACGAAAGTGGACCACTGTGACTACTTTGACACTAGCCAAATACGGGGTCTGGCAAAAAACATCACAAATCAGCTCCACCCCATTTTGGATTCCCTTTGGGCAAACCTTCTCATTTCTCTACGCGACGTGTCGGCCGTGACATCCTGACATCCTCCGGCCCAGGGGCGCTTGCACCGCCTTGAAGCGCCCATCTTGCGCCAGCGAGTCTGTGAAGGCCTTCTTGGAGATCGAGACCCTCGGGTGGTTTTCATGGGCAGGGGCGGCCGATGGCCGCGCTTGCGGCCCTCTGGCTCCAGCTCCTTCCTTCACCGGCGGAGTCGCAATCAACATCCTGCCGGATGTTGAAAGGGTCTACCCAAAAACCAGGAACAGAACGAAACAGGCGGCACCAATTTATGGTTGTTACATTCCCTGACCCCAACCTTTTTCTTACCCAGGCTTTGATCGTGGCTCCTGGAGGCTACCTGGAAGATCAATTTCCATGCGAAGGAAACCTCTATCAGGTGCCACGTGGGAGGAAGCGTAGACGGAGTGCTACATGATAGACTCGAACTGAAACCAATGGAGTCTATTCTCACCCAAACAGACGCCAAACAAAGTTATGCGTCAGAAGGGCGAAAGAACAACAAGCCCATCTCATCTTCATGCGAGCAACGTGCCCTCGAAAAACCAGTCACAGGAACACGGCCCCTCCTCCATGCTCATTGACAGCATCTGAGTCATAGTCAAAACCGATCGGAGAAAACAATGGCCGACAAGGAAACATGAAAAGAATCCCAAAGGCGGCCAACGCACCCATTGACGGCTGGGGTCATCTCTTGACCATCATCTACCCAGAGTTTGATTGTGGCGCAGGTGTGAACTTTAGAACACTTTGGGTCTACCGCAACTCTATACACAACACATGTTCTCTCCCGCGAGATTGGGTGAAAACCGAAGCAGCCAGATCTTGGTTGCTGCAACGACCCCTCTGCAACACGTGCTTCACTGTTTGTGGGTCCAATTCGGAAGATCCCACCTGTTTCAGCCAAAGAGCTAAAGTCCCAAAGATGGGTGAAACCAAATCGCCAGGAGATCTGGGTGTGGGTCAAAATTAAACCACCAGGAATTGGACCGCAGGTTGTCCAAGTTTCCATTTACCAGGGCGAGCCATCTTGGGGTTGCCATATGTTTGACCCACCGCCATGTTCTCTAACCCGCCCCAGAGGTGAGATCAAGGAGCAGGAGCTTGCGCAAGGTCGACAGGATCACGATCTGCGCCTATCGCTGGCGGGGGCTTCGACAGCCTTTCACCACCCTCAGCGCAAGATGTTGAACTTGTGTCCGCACTTCGATGATTGGAATGTAAACAAGCTCGGCAGTAAACCTACCTGAGGGGCTGTTGACCCCCCCGAAAAAAATAGGACCATGAACACCTCCGGGTAGGCCTTGAGATTGGCTTTGTTGATTTGTCACCTGCAAATTTTGGTCTGGAAGGGACCGCAACAAAATTCCAGCCTTGGTCCAAACGGGAGCCAAGGATCAGGGAAACCCAAAATGGGATACTGTGGTTTTGGAGACCCCAAAAGAGATCCCAGATTCCCGAAAAGGGGGTGTGATTCTTTGATGGGGTACCCTTTGGTGACATCAGGGACTCATGTCCACAGAGCTCTACCCACATGCTTATAAACCGGCTTGGAACCGAAGCTACCAGAATCCAGTCCAGGCACTTGGGAACTGGGTTGACCCACTTCCCTTCATGTGGACCCCAGTAAGAAGCCGTAAGGGGATCCTTTCTTCGGTGACGAAAGGAGGGCCTGAGTAATAACTGAGGTTTGTGAAAATCAGGGGTCAGCATTACACCAGGTGTTTCCCCAAATGGCGGACTAGGCGGTGTCCATTGGTGACCCCCTAAACCCATCCAAGGGCATTGGTATTCACTGGGCTCGTCATGTTGAGTCTGTTTCTGGGGCTCAGAGACAGAAACTGGGGTGGCTTCAACCTACCACCTACCTCTTGCTGGGGTGACTTTGATGAGAAAAAAGAAACATGAACCTGTGTTTTCGAGAAACCTCAAGCACATCACCTACCCCTCACCTGCGTGTTTCTCAAAATTGGTCACCTCCAGGTCGGTTTCTTTCCTTCCGGCTTCCTTTTGGGTTCCTCAAAACGGGGCCCGCTTCCACCCCCACCTCAGCCCCCCACGCCGCGCTCCCGACGCGGCCCCGGGCCTCCGGCGGCTTGGTGAGCTCCAGCGCCTGCAGCAGCGCGGAGCAGGTGGTGGCGTTCACCAGCAGCGTCAGGGTGGCGAAGCCCGAGACGAAGAAGACCTCAAGGAGGCGGCCAGAAGCGGCGGCTCAGAGGGCGTCGGAAAGGCGCCGCGTGAGTGGCGCGCCTTTTTTTGGTCTTGGTGGAATTTGGACGGGGGGGTCGGAAGCGGAAGCGACCCGAAGGCGTCGGCTCAAGGTGTCGAAAAGGCGCGAGTGGCGCGTTGTTTGGTTTGGAGGAATTGGACAAAGGGTGTCTGAGTCCGAGTCCCCAAAATGAAACCAATTTCTAGTGGAAGCCAAAAAGTGGTGGTTTTCCTTTTGAAGACCTCAAAAGAAGCGGAAGGCGTCGGTGGCGTTGCCTTTTTTCTCAGGAATCGGAGTTCACCAAGGGTTGGATTGCTTGACCCTAAGTGGGTTCTGACAAATGGGGTGCGTATTTTTGTGGTGGGTCCCGAAAATACAACTTTGAAGGCAGGCGTCCGCTTTTTTGGTTGGACCGGGTCCCCAGAATGGCGGGGGGGAACACTGGAAGGGGGGCTCACCAGGTGTCCGTACCCTTGGTTGTTAGGCATTCACAGGGTGAAGTGTTTTTCGTGGACCCAACAAGTGGTGTTCCTTATAGCGTTCATTTTTCTTACAATCAAAAAAGGGTACCCTCTCAAACACAACAGACGCGCCCTAGAGGATCGATCCGAATCGGATTCAGCGGAGTTGGTGTTGGCTCGATAGGGTTTGTCTAGGATTTGGAACCAAAATGGCTGGCCTCCTTTTGATTTCCCTTTTGGCCCCCAATGAGGGGAACGGGAATTCGGCTATTTTGGGAGGCAAAGCGTACCCTTGGGGTCCGGGGTTGTGCAAAAGGAGAACCAAAAAAAACTGGGGGGGAGTTCCCTCAAACTGGCTGGTTCGATCGCTGTGATGGTGCTTTGCCGTAAGTGGGGATGCTGGATCCGTTTGCCTGTAACCAAGGGAAGCTACCCAGCACCCTTTCACCAAAAAGGAATGCATTGGAAGTGTCCTAGGAAACAGGGAAATGGTTCATAGGGGCACGAAGACCTCAAGAAAACTCCCCCCCCCCATCTGGATGTCTGTCCAACGGCCATAGCCTGGGTGATCCTAGCACCACGACTTCAACACTCACCAGGGGTTGTTTTGCTTGGCCCTAAGCGGGTTCCAACAAATGAGGTATCTTTGGACCCCAAAAAGTCGGGCTGCGCCTTTTGGTCTTTTGGTCTTGCTTCAATCCATCCAACACACCCCAACGGGTTCTAGGATGATACGCACATCCCATGGTGTAAGCGATCAGAACATCTCAAAGGGCTTGGGACATCTCCCAAAGGGGACATCCCTTTGTTCTTGTCCTTTCGCTTGGGGAGTTCCTTCTTCTGAAAAAGCTACACTCCCACTATCAGGTAACCCTTAGTTGGTGGTTTGGATGGGTGGTTTGAAGGATTTGAACCCCTGGCTCTTGTAGAGGCTTCATGGGAAATCCCTCCTCTTTTGTTTTAGGCCCTCTCGTTAGGACACGAAAGAAGGGTTAATCGTTTACCTTCTTTGGGGCCCGGCACCACCACCACCACCAGCACCACCCTATGTTCCGCTCCCTGTTTGTTGAAGCTTTTCTGCCAGAAAGTGGCCTAAAGCCATCATTTTTCAACACCACCGCCACATTGGCTCCACCACCAATTTGTTCTCCTCAACCTATGCATGCTAAAGCCAACAATCTGTTCTACTTGACATTCGAATCCCAAGGCTGTCACAGCTTTAGTGACCCGTTCTTTCAAAAGCAAAAAAGGGGAAAGAACGCACACGCACGACGATTTCTTCACACAACCACCACCACCACCACCACCACCACCACCACCGCCGCACAAGGAATGAGCGCAGCGGCCATGAGGTTGGCGGTGTATTCCTTGCCCTGCTGAATCAGCAGGTTCCGCATGGACAGCGCCAGCGCGAGGCCCACGGCGCCCCTCAGGCCGCCCCAAGTCATCACCTCGGTGTTCCATTTCCCAGGGTAACCCATGTTTCGTACCTATTTGTGGACCTGAAATGATGCGGACCATGCTTCCCTCCAAAGCCATGCAGGGAAAGGAGGGGGGCACTAGGGGACACTTTAGTGGACCTCACGTAGGTTGGCTTCGTAAGACTTTCTGCAACAAGATATATATATATATATACAAGCAAAAAGAGGGCTTCCCTAACATGATCTAAACATTTGTTTCACGCGCAAAGTACTCGTGACCAACTTTACCAACTAAGCGGACCCCTAAGGGCGCAGGTTGTATCCCATAGCCGGAGGTGTCCTTCACTCTGTTCAGACTGTTCACCGTACCAAGGGATCTGGGATCTGGGTACCCCTACGCAGGGAACAAGTTGAAATGCTGGAGTTGACTGTGGATGTGTGGCTGCGCAACTTGCAATCCAGGCATAAACGGGATAAGCCTCATTCCGAACTCAAACCATGGCGTAACGGTGTCCGTCTGCCTTGCAAAAACTGTGCAACAAGGGGTCCCAATTGAGGAAACATGCATTCAGGCCAACCCTGCTGGTTCCTAACCCTACCTTTCATCTCCGCCCAAAACAAAGTGACTCAAAGAGACTCAACTTGGACCCTGTGACATGGAAATCAGGGGCCCTCCTCACAAGGTCCCTCACCCAAACTCAAGTGAAGAATTGGAAGCGGATCCTGCTGCGTTGATACCAAAGTTGCACACCAAGAGTCAACTTGCTGCCCGGTTTATGACAACGAATTATTTCGTCCTCATGGTGACCAGCATGAAACCTTTCACATTGGTGTACCCAAACCCGGCTTACGTTTGGCCTACAAGGATGGCGATGACGATGTATTCTGGCTTCATGACACGCCTTTTCCGAAACTAGCCTGAGTCATTGGCTAAGATATGTCTAGCCAAGCAAACCGACGGTCTCCTAGCAATCAGATAGTTGCTTGAACATGTCGTGCCTATGACTTTGAATGGGGCAGCTCCAAAATGGTGAGCGACGTCCACAACACTGTAGATGGGCCAAATTCTGCACCAGTTCGGGTGATTGAAGCCATAAACAATTTTCCCAGCCGGTGCGAAGTGGATTCTGTCCATCTGCAGTGGGGTCAGTTGAAAAACAAAGTCCATTGTGTTTTGGGGCGAAGAATCCATCCACCCGAAAACCCGGAAGAAAGAAAACCAAGAAAGGAACCGCAAAGAACCAATCCACCCGCAAATTGGGGGGGGGGGGGAAAGAAAGGCACCGAAGGGGGTGACAGTCACAAAACCTCCGAAACGCGGATCAGATGATCGACGGCCGAAGAATTCTGAGTTCAACGCCAGACACTCCTTCCACGTAGTGCGCCTGCGAATCAGAGAGACTAGACGCAAATGGGCTCCGGCTCCGCCATGTTTGGGGGGAGAACCCCCCCTTTCAAAAGGAAACCACACATTATTTTTTGGGGGAACCGAAAAGAAAACTGAGAAACGACCCTAGAGAAAATCTTGTACATGCACGCATATAGCATACCAAGTGATTCCATGTCCATGTCTAGGCAACCAAGGGTTTCAATGCCTGGTTTCCCACTGTAGGGATAACTGGGATGCACTTGGATATCTTTTTAGATACTTACTGTTGAGTGTTACATATGACATGCTACCCTTAAACCGCTTTTTGAACAGAGGTTAGAGGGAATTATGACATTACCCTTCAGCACTTATTCTGTGAGATCGAAGTGGGAATGCCTATGAACTTTGTCACTATCAAGTGTGCTCTCTTGATATCACAGAAAGTGAGACAAGTACGTCTTCAGATAAGCCGGTCCTCGATATTGCCTAGACTGATTGACAAATCTGAGGCTGTACTTTTTGTTTGACCGGGGAACATGGCGAAGGGGGGCCCTTTATTGGCGCTCTGATCTGCCGAAGGGTGTCCCAAAATTTTCGGGACCCGCGGTGAACAGACGCAACAAAACCAAAACCGATCTCTTTGGGGGGCCCTTCCGCCCTTTTCAAGTACGTAGGGGCTTCACAACTCCCTGACTTTGACCCATCCCTAAAACTCGGATTCACATTGGAAAATCCAGTGTCGTTTGGCCCAACTAACAATTTGGCCCGTCCCCAACCCCCCCCCCCCGCCAGTATGTTGGCAAGAAGCTTTGTCTTTGCAGCTCACTAAAAGGTACCGGGTATTTACCCACCCGCAAGTCGAAGTGGTTTTACCCCCGCCAACATGGTGAGAACACCCTCTCAAGAGCACCCGCTCAGCCCTGCGCACACGCGCGCCAAATGGTAAGAACACCCGCTTAAGTGCACCCGCTCAGCGCTGCGCACACGCACGCCAACTCGGCACTGCGCACGCGCATGCCAAATGGCAAGAACACCCGCTGAAGTGCACCCTCTCGGCACTGGAGACACGCATGCCATATGGTAAGAACACCCGCTGAAGTGCACCCGCTGGTCACTACACACACACATGCCAAATGGTAAGAACACCCGCTGAAGTGCACCCGCTCAGTGCTGCACACATGCATGCCGAATGGTAAGAACATTCGCTGAAGTGCACCCTCTCGGCACTGCGCACACGCGTGCCACATGGTAAGAACACCTGCTGAAGTGCACCTGCTTTGCGCTGCACACACGCATGCCAAATGGTAATTAAGAACCGCTCAAGTGCACCCGCTCAGCACCACACACGCATGCCAAGTGGTAAGAGCACCCGCTAAAGTGCACCCGCTTTGCGCTGCACACACGCATGCCAAATGGTAAGAACACCCGCTGAAGTGCACCCGCTTTGCGCTGCGCACACGCATGCCAAATGGTAAGAACACCCGCTGAGGTGCATCCGCGCAGCACTGCACACACGCATGCCAAATGGTAAGAACACCCGCTGAAGTGCACCCGCTTTGCGATCACACACGCATGCCAAATGGTAAGAACACCCGCTCAAGTGCACACGCTCAAGTGAAACAACAAACAACCCAGCCCACGAAGGCGGCGGATTTCAAGTTCCACTGGGATAGGACATGTCTCCAGCTGGTGCCCCGGCTTCTGGCAGCCCAGACATCGTCTCACTGCCACGTGTCCTGACTAGAACAAAAAATACGCGGCTTTACTCTGAATTGAGTTAGTTACCGGGATGTTCAAAGACCCACAAAGATGCGCGTTTGTCAAACTGCCTGGGAATTCAACCACAAAAACCCAAGACAGGCAAAAAAACGCGCGGGTGGGTATGTTCCCGGCGCGCACTAAAATGACCAGAAACAAAGAAGCAATAACAGAAAAAGAACATGCACCAAGACTAGTCAACATAGATCGGGCTTCCCCGCTTCCCCGTATTTCCCTGTCAAACATCACACCCAAAGCAACCTCATATTGCAGCCTCCAAACGTCGAGCACCTCTCAGTGGAGTTCTGTCGAATCCCCCCTGCCCCCTTGATAGCCACGGGGCCTTGGTTGGCACAAGAGAAACCAAAGGGAAACTCATTTTGAGGGTGTTGGGATTGATTATTGACCAAGCAAAGGGAAGAAAGCTGAACAAAGTGCCAGCTAAGCAGCTTTCTTCCTGAGGGTACCCTTCTTACGTTTGACGTTGGACCAACCGAAGTGAACGGTGCCAGCTAAGCAGTTTCAACTCTGAGGGTACATGCTTGACCAAACGACGGGAACGCCATTTTGAGGGTGAGACAAGCCCCAGGTGCCATGTCCACTTTCAGTTTTTTTGCCCCAACTTGTCCAACCTTCCCAGTCCCTCAAGTTTGCCCCCCAAAAAAAGGACAAATCTTGTGCCACAAAATATGGATGGACCTCTTCTTGGACCCCCTTTTTGTTGGCGGGGCCATAACCCGTGCCCCTAAGGGGCAACCCATTTTTGACCACCCCCCCCCCCCCAACTCTCCACCGAGGCGCGTCACGTCTGAGCCGCCCGCGAAGTTGACCAAAGGCCAGAGCATGCCGATCCTGGTGGCCGCTGCTTCCCCCCCCCCTCCGCGAGTGTCCCACAAAAAGGGAGGGGGTCGGGGGGGCGGGGGACCGTTTTAGTGGTCAAAAGGTTCCAGGGCGATTTGCGTTTTTTGCCATGTGCTTCGTCGGGAACAAAGGGGATATCCCAATGCCGACCGGACGAGAACCCAGGTATTGATGGAGTCAGACGAGAAAGCAACGGTGTTTCAAACTACCAATGCCAAAGAGGGACCCGAATGGAACGATGCCGCGAGGACAACTCTTATGTTGCTGGTGACCGATAGGCAGGGAACCGGTTTCGGGGATTCCCCAATTGAAAGGAAACCAAGTCGGGGATGGCTTCTAGGGTGTCATTCCGTGTCTTGTTTCCTGCAGAGAAACAGCAAGTAAATACTGTCAGTGACATCAAAAGGACTTGACTACCATGTTCCCAACCAGAACTCCGATCGGTAGCTCCTGAACCGCTCTCTCTGAGTCCGGCTCCCTTCCAAGCCCTAGCTAGTTGAAACTCACTTGAGTCACTTGCTCAAAACCCGAGAAATTACAATGGTCGTAATCCCAGAACCATGCTTACAGACTTAAGAAGGCGGGGTTTTCCGCAGCTATTTTTATGGCAGGGGGATTGTCCCCTTAACCTTCATCTACCCGAATCGGTTTTGGGCACGTGGGGTTCGCACTTGGGACCGACGGCTGGGGAAGGCAAACCGTGGACCACGTTTGCTTTTGCTGCCTGGAACTCCATTCTTCTCGGATTGGGATTTCAAACCACCAGCTGGACTGGATGTTTCGTGAGATGCGGGGCTGTTTTTTTGTTGCCGTTGGTGCCCCCTCTCTTCTTGTGGCTTTAAAAGGAAACCAAGAGCAACACCACCCAGCCGCTGCACGGATGGGAGCCCCCAGCTTTTTTTCCACCCACCGGGGGACTCGAAATCGGAACTCCGCAGCCAGGCCACATGAGGCCCCGCGCCATGGTGGCGAGGAGATACAGCATGATCAGCCACCCGAAATCCGCCCACTCCACCTTCCTCGGGTTTCTTTTTGGGGGGGGTTGCTTGTTTGTTTGCTAGGGGTACCCTTCTGGTTGGTTCAGTGGTTGGTTGGTTGGTTGGCTGGCTGGCTGGTTAGTTTCCTTCCTCGAGATGTTGTCTCACCAGAAGTGTTCACCGATTGAACACATGGAAGGCTCCTTTGTTGTTTGGAATACCCCCAAAAACTGGACTTGAATTATCCTTCCTCGGGAATTGTTTGGATTTGTCAGCTTCCCTCCAATTGGCGGTTTGGACCGGTGGTTTGGTGGTTTTCAGTTTACACTTCCTCGGGAGTTGTCTCACAGTACCACATGGAAGGCTGCCCCCCCCCAAAAAAAAAAAAAAAACAAAACTTGGTTTCCTCCCTCGGGATTTTGTTGGCGTGGTTTTGCTAGACAAGTACCCTTTCCCCAAGGCTAGGGCCAAAAGGAAAAAAAGGAGAGCCAGCAACAAGGTGGTACCCCGCGTTTTGCCACGCGCAACTTGTTAAGCGCAAGCTCAGCGCTTCTTGCAGCTCTAAGCTTCTTGCAGGACTCATAGGAGAAGACTCCGCAGAGCGTGAAGAGCACCGTATTCCCGAAATACTCCATGGCGTGCCACACGGCCCCCAGACCGTCCTGTCAACTGGTGGCCCTTAAGCCCCCTGGCACCAGAAAAAAACGGAAAAAACTTCAAATACAGACGTCTCCTTTTTGATCTCCTCACCAAAATCATGGTGGCTGGGGGGGAGGGAGGGGAGGGGGAGGGGAGGGGCCTTATTTAGAGCCTTTTTTGGCTCCCTCCCTCCCACCCCAGCCCCCATGACAAAAGCTGGGGGCTCCCCAAAACAACATGGAGGGGGTGTCTTTCGGGCCGTGGCAAGAGGAAAAATGGCACCCTTCCTTGGTTGAATTAAAAAAATGATAACACCTGCCCAAAGACGTCTCTTCTTGGAGGAAACCCCTTTTTAGGATCGGTTGCAAGGGGTCCATGGGTTTCCTATAATTTCTCCATGGGTTGTCCATGGGTTTGCCATAGGTTTCCCGTGGGTTTCCCATGGGTTTCCCATGGGTTTCTCCACAGATTTTGCGTGGGGGGCACAGGAAAACGTTGAACCATCTAGGCGGTTTGGCCTTGTGCACCACCAAAGGCGTGGCGTATTTGCTGATCATCAAGGCCGCGAAGATGGTGGCGAGCACTCCGCTCACCTCGGGTTTTGTATCGCATCGCATCGCGATGGTTGGTGAAGATACACCAGTCTAAGGGCTGTGGGAAATGGAATCCACTTCTGTGATAGAACAAAAACGGGCCTCCCCAAAGACTACCCCCCCCAAATAAAAACAGAGGGGATTGTCCTGTATCACAGAAGTGGTTGGAGAAAGCCCATTGATCCCACAACCCTTGTCTAAGACGAGAACAAACCACAGGCCTGCGCTTTCGGCCGCTTTCGCCGCGCGGATCCAAGCGAATGGCCAAGTCACCTTGAGCTCATTCTCGCCCACGAAGAAGCTAATGTAGGCAATGGTGATGGTTAGGGCCACCTTCCAAAGCCGAAAAATGAACCCAACTTTGGGGGGGGACCCCTTCTTGGTTGGCTTTAAAGGGAAAAAGAGGAAAACCGCCGGGGGGTCTGATTCCTAAAAAATGTCATACTCAGTTGTCTTGCGGTCTGCTACACATTCACAAAATAGTACTCTCCCGCCCACTGAATGGAACCACGGGATCCCGTGACGAGAATGGTCTTCCGGCACCCAAGTCAGGTTCCATATTGGTTGGGAGGGTAAATCAAAGATCAAAGGATTGATTCATGTAGTGTCCCATTTAAGAGGGGAGCCCGCACTTTGGGCGGAAACACACCCCAATTGCAGTCATATTAGTCCGGAGGTGACATTACATACAAAACACAAGAAACCGGCCGTCTGATACCATTTCCCTGTGTAGTAGGCAACCAAGAGAACCACCCTTTGAAACACCAAAAGCAAATGGCTCGTTCTGGTTCCTGGTTATGCAAAATAGCCCTTTCTGTGGCACCAAAGTGGGATTCCCATCCCCCGCATTTCCGTTGCTACTCATGCATCAGATGATATGACACAAAGGGGTCGAACAATGTGCCTGTCGCTTCACACAGACAAGCTCGTATCCTCTCCCCCGGCCTGCACGAGGGAGTCCGTGTGGACGAGGCGGTCGGAAGCCAAGGACATCCATCCTCAGAAAAATCCGCATAGCTCACTCCCTGAGTAGATTCGCCCACAAAAAATGGTCTGAACTTGTTGTGTACCACCATAATAATCGTCCCAAAAGGTATCAAGTCCAGAAACTCGGGGAGTGAGGTTCCCCTCTTTTCAGACAAGCCCATGGGGCAAACGGAGTCCAACATTAAACACAAAGCGCGGGTATTGCGTGCCCCGTGTTCCAATTTCGCGGAGAAGCCGTGGATAAGCCGAAGAAACTGGACCAAAGACAAGCCCCATGAACCCAGCCACACTTTTGAGACTCGATGCTTTCTAAACCACGGCTATATCCTCCAACTTCTAGCATTTCTATTGGCTTATCCCATAAAACCCCAGGGGGTAGCTTCGGTTTGGAGTGCAAACCCTCTTGGACAAACGCAACCACATCTTTCGCCGTGTCCGAAAAGTTGGAACCCTGCAAATACGTCCATAAACCCCGACAACCCACAAAGCCAAAAAGTCGAACAAACAACACCCACCCTGAAAAGCGAAAAGAATCCTTACTATTATTATTATTATTATTCAAAAAAGGAACAAAGAAATCCTTGAAAAAAGGAAAACACACATCCTGAAAAAATGGCCCTCCGTCAATTCCAACTGCCGCGGCACGGGCCCCGATCAGGCCGCAGACCGCCCCGAAGAGGATGCCGCCCGCCGCCAGCTGCAGGAAGCGGACGAGGATGATGCCGGCGCCCGCCTCTTCTCCTGGCCATGGCTCAAAACCGATGGTATGGGACTCCCTTGTTTGGTGGTTTTCAAACGGAATCAAAAGGACGCCCATCCATTTTGGTGGTCCCCCAAAAAGAAGACCCATATGGCCATGTGTCAAAACCCAAATCGTACCCCCAGTGAACATCCCAATCCAACCACTAAAATAAAGTCTATGGGTAGTGAATTCACCAATCCCCAAAATGGGATCCCAAAACGGTTTTGACCCACGACCTCCTGGAAAAACCGAAAGCGCGGTGAGTGACCCCTACCGCGCGAGCACTGGAGGCTGGTGGAGTCACTGGAGGTCAACTTGAAGTGACTGGACTGGAAATCCCTCACCTTGGTTCTTGGTTGACGTTTGAAGGGGAGCCAAAATTGTTCAAAAATTGTAGCAGTTCAGTGGATTTGGAGTTCAACCACTAAACCACAATAAGCAAAAATGTAAGATGTGTCCCAACAACCACCATGTACCGCGACCCCTACAGCGAGACCCCTAACCTTGGTTAACGTTGGAAGGGGAGCCAATATTGTTCAAAAATTGTAGCAGTTCAGTGGATTTCGAGTTCAACCACTAAACCACAATAAGCAAAAATGTAAGATGTGTCCCAACAACCATGATGTACCGCGACCCCTACAGCGAGACCCCTAACCTTGGTTAACGTTGGAAGGGGAGCCAATATTGTTCAAAAATTGTAGCAGTTCAGTGGATTTCGAGTTCAACCACTAAACCACAATAAGCAAAAATGTAAGATGTGTCCCAACAACCACCATGTACCGCGACCCCTACAGCGAGACGCCTACCCTTGGTTGACATTGGAAGGGGAGCAAAAATTCTCAAATTCTAGCAGTTCAGTGGATTTGGAGTTCAACAACTAAACCACAATCAGCAAAAACGTAAGATGTTTCCCAACAACAACCATGTACCGCGACCCCTACAGTGACCCCTACTGCGACCTATACAGCGACCCCATACAGCGACCCCATACAGCGACCCCATACAGCGACCCAATACAGCGACCCCTTCAGTGACCCATTCAGACCCCTGCAGTGACCCCTACCGCCTTGGTGGATGTTGCAAGGGCAGCAAAAAAATACTAAAACAATAGCGCAGTTCAGTGGATTTGGAGTTCAACCACTAAACCACAATAAGCCAAAATGTTACATGTTTCCCAACAACAACCATGTACCGCGACCCCTACAGTGACCCCTACCGCGACCCCTACCGCGACCTATACAGCGACCCAATACAGCGACCCCTTCAGTGACCCATTCAGACCCCTGCAGTGACCCCTACCGCCTTGGTGGATGTTGCCAGGAGATCAAAATCTAAAACAAAACAAAAAAAACAGTTAAGTGGATTTGGAGTTCAACCACGAAACCACAGTAAGCAAAAATGTAACATGTTTCCCAACAACAACCATGTACCGCGACCCCTTAAGTGACCCCTACAGTGACCCCTACCGCGACCCCTACAGCGACTCCTACAGCGACCCCTTCAGTGACCCCTTCAGCGACCCCTACAGCGATCCTTCCAGCGACCCGTTCAGACCCCTGCAGTGGCCCCTACACGTGACCCCTACGGTGACCCCTCCCCTACAGCTACCCTTATGGTCACCCCTATAGTTATCCTGCCGCTACCCTCATAGTTCCTACTATAGCCACTTGGTGATAGCAATGGTGATGGTGATGAAGAAACTCATATTGTTCTGATTCTATTTCACATTCAGTCCCCTTAAAAGGAGGCCCCACCGAGTCGATCCCTTGCAGTCGATCCATCTTCGTTTTTGGGCTCTCAAAGGGTTTGCTCGGTGACCTACCTACCATACAGGTAAGTGGACGCACTGGGCAATGCGACAATGAGATTGTGAGGTGCTCAACAACCACCTTCAGTCCTGATATTGGGACGTGTGTAGTTATTCAGCCCCTCGTATTGCTACCCTCCATGTGAGGGGTTGTTCGCCAAATATATGAGCCATGTTCAAACTCCTTATTGCTTCCTTACCAGGAATCACTATTATCATGGTTATTGAGGATTACCATGCGGACCATCCCTGTTCACCCTGAGCCAGTGGGCCAAACTGGGCTTGACTAGCTACCTGTGTAGCTAGCGACTTTCCTGACCAAGGGAACCTTGGCTACCTGGAAAACGGAATTGGATAAAGGAACCCAAAGGATCAGTTCTATACGTTTTTTCTCTGGCAAAAGGTCTGCAGCAGACGCTTGTAGGTTTGAATTGAAAAAAATGTGTCCAAAAGGTCGAAGGGACGAAGGGCGGTTCGAGGCTCGACAGCTCCTTTCATGAAGTCGTAGAAAACAAGCCACACGACGATGGCGACCCCATCCTTGCTTCGGTTTGTTGCGATCCGCCGCGAAAACGAGGAAGGGATGCCGTTGTCCTTTCTAAGGGGGCTGGTGGGATATGTTCAAAGGAAACCAACATGCAACGAGGCATGTGTACCACGATTCAAGCCAACTATTGTGAAGCCAACAGGATTGAAAGTCATATTGAAACAAAGCAATTGACAAGCATAAAGAATCGAACTCTGACTAGTTTGGGCACAGACCGAAACCCGACATCGACTCCAGGGACTAGATCCGAGTTGGCTAGGTCAAACATGCCGGAATGCGACCGCCACAAGCCAAATGAGCAATTTTAGATCACCATCCAACTCAGACAACTCGAAGGAGACTGCCCTAACCTACACTAAGTTGGCGGATATCGCCCTGTGTATAAACTTCAACTTGTTTGTTGAGTGGAAAAGAACACTGGCAGTCAAAGTAAGGATCGACTCCAAGAATGCCAACCCTGCAAATAGCGGTAAGTGCTTAAAGTGCGTATTCTCCTTTTTTCCCCTACTGGCAAAGTTTAGGGCATCCACCCTACGCCTTCATTATTTTTGGGGGAATGTGCCGAACATGGGGGTGGCAACCTATCACATGCGAGTCATAATCAAGAATTGAAAAGGCGGAATTGTCTGCACCCATAGCTGGCTGGCTGGGATTCTCCCGTACCTGCCAGTACCCGGGTTTTGAGCGCTGGACTCATGTACATGGAGGTTGATCAATATTCCCTTCGGCCCCCAAATGGCCATTGGGTTGAAAACATGTTCCATATCTTCTTCTCGTTTCCAGACCAATGGTCATCCCATGCATCACGGAGCTTTGGATCAACCCCCATGTCCAAAACCTGTGAGGGATCCCATTACATGTTAATTTAGGGAAAACCCAGAATATGAACTGCCACATTTAGGGAAGACCCCAATCCCACAACTCACAGTCTTATTGATGAACATCACAGTCTCCCATTTTTATTGTGGGTTTCCCATTTTTATTTGGTTTGATTCCTGTTGTGAATTGTTGGGGTGGGTTTGTCTCACAATAGGAATCAAGTCGCATTGAGCAAGGACTCCCCGGCGATCTGCATGGTGAGCACACGGCTCGCGCCCATCTCCTGGCACCAGATCTCCAATCCGACGATCCCAGCCGCGGAGGAGGATATCCATCAGGTCACCCGCTGCTTGAAAGGGAAATGATGGAACGCGAAAAGGACAAATTGTAGCCGGCCGAAACAGACAATAATCAAGGCTAAGTCTGGCAGCTAATGTCCTAACTCTTCCTAAATGCGTGCAGAGGTCCCTAACACCCCCGGGTAAATCCATGGTACAGCTGAGGCTTGGTACTCCGCAAGGCCATATTTGGGCCATACTTTCGAGGGGCCCTGTGGTAAGAGCAACCCAAAGGCAAAGAGAGAGAGAGAGAGAGAGAGAAAGACAGAGACAGAGACAGAGACAGAGACAGAGACAGAGACAGAGACAGAGACAGAGACAGAGACAGAGACAGAGACAGACACAGAGAGAGAGAGAGAGAGCGAGCGAGAGAGAGAGAGAGAAAGACAGAGAGAAAGAGAGAGAGAGAGAGAGAGAGAGCGAGAGAGAGAGAGAGAGACAGAGAGAGAGAGAGAGAGAGCGAGAGAGAGAGAGAGAGTCGGCTGTGGGTGATTGACCTGTGCGAAGCACCTTTCTGGGAAACTCGTTTTTTGGTAGGAATCGGACCTCACCCTAAAATGGGCGCAACAGTTTTCCTGTTGGTTTCCCTTTAAATCAACCCCAAAAGCGGTCCCCTCAAAAGATTGGCACAGCCCTGTTTGGACTTTCGCTTGCCAGTACCAAGGGAAGTTCCGACATGTACTGGGAATCCAACTCATGGATTTGGATATGCGTCAAATCAGTCACCATCAGGGGACTGCAGGCTTTGGTCCATGTTTCCATGAACCAGGGCAACTTCTATTTTTCACCCTCAGCCATATCATCAAGCAAGTCATTTTCACACGAGGCCTCATGGTTTCAAGGCGAAAGTGGCAGGCACGATTCGTTGGCTTCTGGGTGTAAACGTTTAGTCCATTGACGGTGCGTGTCGCCGAAAAGTGTGATTGGAAGATACTTAGGGGAAACGGCCGACGGACGGAAGCCACCACTTGAAGCCAAAAGGCTTCCCAAAAAGTCCACGTTCAACGACCACCTTGGTCATTGATTTCCACATCAAAACATCAAAAGGCCAAGCCAAGGATCCCGGTTGCAATGCCATGATTGAGGGCGCACTGTTGGAGTACAAGGGGAAAACGCAACTGTGGATGGACAAAAACAACATCACACCAAACATGGATGAAGCGCTATGAATACCATAAGCAAGAGGTTTTCGAACAGGCGCCGATCGGCGCCAGTAGAACCAAGCTGAAAGGGGGTGCCAGTCGGGCAACTTTTTGTTTGGGATGGTCTGTGTTCCTTTTGGCCTTTTCAACAGCACGTCGAAAAGGATACCCTGAAAATGGAGGTGGGCGTGTCTCTTTTTGGAACATGGACCCCCAAAATGGTGGCGTTCCTCTTGGTTCTTCATTACCAGAACTTGGTTCTGTCGGTTCAAACTGATCCTTAGCCAAAAGCCCAACTTGTTAAATGGAAACGCCACAAGACAAATAGTTCCCCCCCACAAGAAAAAAAATAACCTAGAAACCTTTTTTGGGGTGCTTCTTTTTTTCGGAAACCCGGGTTTTCCTTTTGGCTCCCCTTGAAAACGCCGCCAGATGGCCCCATCTCCCCCGCGACTCCTTGAGAAGGCCCACCACGGCCACCGGATCCGTGGCGGCCAGCACGGAGCCGAAGGCCGCGCACTCGTAGGCCGTCCAGCCTCGCTCTTGCGAGATTTTGCTGAGGTTAGATATTGAAGAAGTTCTGGTAAGGTAATAAGTTAGATATTGCTTTCCATACTAGTAAGCTTCCAAGGTTTAAGCTTTTTGTAGTCTCATTTTTAGATATTACTGGTCCGCCATTTTGAGACGACCATTCTAAGACTTTTGCTAAGGTTTCTGCATTTTAATGAGGAAAGATATTATGAATCCAGATATTACTAGGTCAATCTTGATGAACTTTTAAAATCTAACCTACATTTTTTGGGGGGGGGTAGGGGGCCCCTCCAGAAGTGGTCTGATTCCCCACGAAACCTGGATATGGGGTCAACATTAAAGGGAAACCAAAAGGAAAGCAATAAAATGGGCCCCCATTCTGAAAGACATCCATTTGGGTCTCTGCACTGTTCACCAAACTCAACCGGTCAACCCCATGTCAGTCTTGTTTCGAGCATCACACCCATGTGAGTTGCAATCAAAACCTGGTACTAAAATGGTCTACCCAGAACCATGTACAGGATTAACAAAGCGGCCGCAGCTATTTATGGTTGGGATCGTGCCTTACTAACCTTCATCTACCCGGGTTTGATTGTGGCTCATGTCCAGATCTGTGCAAAATCTCCCACGTGCCCCGTTTAGAGACCTCTGAGCAAGTCCAAAAGGGGGAGCCTTTTAGCGACGGGTACAACACTGACGGCTCCGATATGGGCTTGGATTTATTCATTTTTTCGGGGACCCCAAAGTGGATGGGTGTCCTTTTGGTTCCCCTGTAAACCCACCAAACAAGAGAGTCCTTTCCAAAAACGAAAGATCCATATCGCTGTTGCCAAAAAGTGGGTATGGCTCCCCAGAAAAACCTCTCGTGTTGACCACGTCAGCCTCGAATTCTTGCCGAGGAGCCGTATGGAAATATGAACTTTGCGACAACGAACATCAGGGCAGTGCCAATGAGCACCCCTGGTCCTTAGCCGCAACTCGTGTGGCTCGAGAGGAAGCGGCAAGGCTCAAAGGTCCACCAGCAGGGAAACCCACACAAAAAGCTGAGCTTCACCACTAAATGGGACATGTCCCCAATTTAAGTCATTTTGGGGCCTTTCACGGAGTATTGATCAAGCCATGATAAAGCCAGCTTTCACATGACAGTTATGCAGAAGCTTACGCAGATTCCACACTCGCTGCCAGCAAGGCATGTCACGGGAAGAGGTGAATCTACTGATTTGACCGCTGGGGCAGCCCTCGGCGCGCTGTGTTTCTTCAAAGATGCTCTGACTCAACTTCCTTAGGAGTCCCATGTTCCTGGGCTGTCCAAACTGATCACCTGCTTAAAGCTTAACTTGTGGGTTAAATGCAAACCCAACCACCTTTCACCAACTACAAACCACTAAGAAACTAAGGAACCGCATGGCTGGTACCACCAAGGTTCGCAGAGTTGCTTGAATCCAAGGACCCTCTGTACCTTTGAGCAACCCTGAGCACCCCTTTAGGGGTTTTCATCTGATCCAGAAGCTGAAGTTGGATGCCCCAACATCTTGCCAGTAAACCAGGCATATCCCAACCACAAAACCATGGTACAGGCGTCCTCGTTGCCTTATCTGGGTGTGTCTCTTTTAGGGGACCCACAAAATGGCAGTTTGTCTTGTTGGTGTCCTTCAAAACCATTAAAAGAGAGGGGACAACCCCCCAAAAACAAGACACACACATACACACTTAGGGCAGCCGCCGTATGTTTGACGCAACATGCATCCCGCCTGCCAAGATCGCACATTGTGCAGCCGTCCGCTGGAAGTCGTGCCAAACCTCGCCAGGGGGGGGGGGGGTCGGTTCTCTTGCTTGCCCAAACAACTACAAAACAAAAAAACTCGACCTTGGGGCCATGAACAAAGAAATTCCAATGCTTGCAATGCTTTAGCAAAAATCCTGACATCTAGGCTTGACATCATGTCTGGGTACCTACTACACTGGATGGTTGTGAATCCATTTCGCACCATCTAAGAAAACCCTGGAATGACGATTCCGCTGTAGATACCCACAAACCATGGTTTCAACCATGGTTTCAAAGTGGTGCAGGATTTTGTCCATCCACAGTATGAACAAACAAATTCCAATGCTTCCAATTCCGCTGTAGCAGGTAACCAAGGTGGGCTTGACATCGTGTTTCTGGCTACCTACTATACTGGCAGCTAGAAGCACTGGGAATGGTAAAACACAACTTTTGAAATCGAGGAGCCATTCCCTTGTTGGGGGCGTCTTTTTTTTGTTTTGTTTTTTTTTTTCTTTTTTTTTTATTTTTTTTTTTATTTTTATTTTTTATTTTTATTTTTTTTTCGGGGGGGCACCCGTGTCATCTGCGATCCTGGGACTCTACAGCTTACTCAGCTGCCTGACGTTGGCACTCATTTTCTGCCTCAGTGCGTGTACCGGCCACCTACATTGCGCGAATACGTTCACCGCCCACGCTCACAGCTCTTGTCTTTGGCATGACACCAATGTAATACTTCCGACGTCCGAAAACGACTCCATAATCGAAGTGGGGCACGATGCACCAGGTCCACACTTCAAAACCTTTTTACTAGCAAAAGCACGGGGCACCGTCATCTCTGAAAGTGACACAAAAACGCCTTGGCGCCAGCTTGAGGTGCCAACAAGTGACTCCAGCAGGTAGAATCCCGCATCCCAAATGTCGGTTTAGGGCTGAATAGATGTGCCCAGTGAACATCCCAATCCCCACTAAAATAGCACCTACCCCAAAATGGTACCATTGGTTTTGACCCATAGCCATGTGTGTTTAACCGGAAACGGGGTTACTACCCCCCGAATCCCTTGAAGCATCTTTAAACCCTCCCCAAAAACGTGGCTGCCCCCCCCACAGTTCGACGTCTCGTGCCAGGGCGCAATGGACATGGCGTCGCCAAAGAGCAAGACGGGCAGGAACCCAAAAAGAAGGAGGTGTGGGTCCTGAAAGAGCAACTTGCGCAGAGAGCACAACCTCTTCAACTAGTGAAGGCCCAAAAGGTGACGGATCCCGCTGCAACCAAGAAACTGAGAAGACCCCAAAAAAAAGGCTCAAACAAACGAATGTCCCTGACTACAAAGGCCTGAGCCTATTTTGTTAACCCGTACTTGCGCGCGGGAGTTCATGCCTGTGTGTCAGACCATCCAACATAGCATGAATCTTGACATTCAGGGGCCCATCCTTCTGCATTCATTGCAAAGCGGAGATTGCAGGCAAATGGTCCCTTTTGAAGGAAACTCCTCCCTCAGGCTCATAGATCCTGGGTCAGCATGGACTAAAACGGGAAATGGCGAAGGGCCACCTAAGTTACCTATTCTTGGCTTGCAAGCCTTGGCCAGACAAGGCCTTGAGGCAAGGTGTTTTTGGCGGTTTCCAGCTCATGAGGCCCTGGCTGGGGGGCCCCATCCATGGACAAGACTCAATCGACTCACTGCAAGTCATAATAAGACTCAGAGACCTTTTTAGGGGCTCCTGACTGGAATACAACAACCACCTCGGCTGGGCGATGGTCTAACTGGCACTTCTGTGCATCCTTTGAGGGATCCTGGGGGACCCATCCATGAACAAGACTCAATCGACTCACTGTAAGCTCAGAGACCTCCTGAAAAAATCCTAAAAGGATACCAAAAACCACCCCGGGTTGAAGGATTCAGTTCCGCATCAGCGGGCTGGGGGCAATGTTTCCCCCAGAGGTGTTTCTTGCCACCCTCCCCCGCTGCCAGCCTTCGACTTCCAGGTTGGGGGCAGGTCGACCAGAAAGCTCGGTTAAAGCGGGCAAAGGCAACATAGACTAAACCTGGAGGTGTGGGGGGAGTAGTGTCTTTGGGAGGGGTAGAACAAAAGTATGTAATTAAAGGGAAACTAACAGGAAGAAAACGTCAAACATGTCCGTTTTCCGTGGCCCAAGCTTCAAAAAACAGAACGCCACCCAAGAGTCCCTTTCGTTTTCAGCCAAGGAGCAATAGGCCCCCCCCACCCCAAAGTCTGTGGGTGTCCCCTTGTGGGTTCCCTTTCTCCAATATCAGGAAAAAACCGAGAAAACAAGGACCCCCCGAAAACGGGGGGAAAAGAACCACGGGCGCCAAACCCACCGGGAAGACACGACGAATTGCCGAGGAGCGATGGCCATCCACAAAGTCATGCTCTCCGAGAGGGTGCCCAGGCCACCGGAGGTCTCCACATGAAAAAGGCCCAGGAAGACACCCACGATCCTCACTGCTCTTCCCCCGTCGGATGGAAAACGCGCGCTGCGGTTTGTTTTTGTTTGGGGGGGTGTTCATCCATGAGCCATTTCAGATCGGGGGGAAAAACGGGCGGCGGTTGTTTTCTTCCTTTGTGGGTTTTGTTTTTGTTGGCGGGGTGATCCATATTCCATTCAGATAGTCAAATCAGGCCCCATGAAACTCCACCAAACCACTATTTGCAGGAGAAAACAGGCTGTACACCCCATTTACACAGTGGCATGGTGGTTGATCCCAATAAACCGCCTGGGGTGGCTTCTTTTTGGTGGAAACCATGTCACTGGTGCAGAGTCTGTTCTCAGAGTCAGTGGCGCGAAACCTATTTCAGTTGGGCGGTTTTGTTGGCACCAGCCGTTACCAAGGCCTTTTTGTTAATCAGGGCTTTTTGAGCTCCCTCCCCCCTCCCTGCAGGCCCCACGAGTTCAGTGGAGGGCATACCAGCAGTTGCAACCAATCTCATAGCAGTCACTCCAGTCTCGACAGATCTTGCGAGCAAGCAGCAGTAACGAAACTGTATATGGGATGGACGCCAGGAATGACCACCGAGAGCCCAGGTGAGTCAGCATGATGCCTGCGCGTCATTGACAAACATGCGCCATTTCCGCGAATGTCGGGTCAATACAGAATGGGCGCGGCTGGTGCGGATTGCTCGTGAAACAGATGTGGAATCAATAGAGCAACGGCAGGCTACCGTTGCCCCTTGTTCACTTGCAACATTTTTTGCATGCAACATAGACAAGCCTAGTGCTTCTTCATTGAGGTCGGCAGTAAAGCCAAAAGGAAAAAATCCTCGGACCGACTTGGGCTCGGAAGCCTCTTGAGCTCCACGTCGCAAAAAAATGGGGCTTACCTGGTTTTGGGTTCAGCCCAACTGACAACTGCGCATCTGGATTCTGGCAACCATGCGCGAACCTCACATGTGAGTTGAAACTAGGGACCTTGAAGGGACATCGAAATTCGGAAGATTCAGATGTTCACCAACGGGTTGCCATTAAATTCATAGCCATGGTTGGTCTCGAACTATGTGAGACACCCTCCAAAATGGATTTCGGTGTTCCTGTTGCTTCCCCTTACAACAACAGATTCGGCTCACGTCGCCAGTCACGGTCTCCCGCTTGTTCTCAAAGCATGTCTACCCGTGTTGGACGAGGATGTCCCTGGTTTCCGCTAATGTTGACACCATATTCATCAACCCCAGTTTATTATTGGGGGGGTGCCTGGGTTTAGTCGGGAGTCAGCCCCCACCCCCCTATGAGGTTGACGAATATGTTCACCCAGAATCTACCCGAATTTTGATTGTGACTCATATGGGGTCAACATTACCCCAAAAGACTGCCGCCACCCAAACAGCGGCTTGCAAGGCCCCCCCTGGCTCGATTTCGAGTTCGGAACATCGCGCCTAGGAGCATCGAAACGAAGGGGAACCTCAGGCGCGGTGCGGAAACGGACCGCCCGAAGAGGTTTAGACTGGGGCTGCCGCTTTCTACATAAAACCACTGGAAACCACACAAGTGGCCAATGGTTGGGCGGTTTAAACGCCCAAACAAGCCAAGCCTCAATGGGGATGCGAGCGCCCCTGCATATGTTGTGTCTCTAGCCTGAAACTTTCTGGGTCTGTCGTTTTTGAGGGTACCCTTTTTAGCATAGGTGCCTGGGGCAAATAGATAGCCCTGGTAGATGATTAAACCACCAGGTAAACCAGGGCCATCTATTCTTCGACCAAAACAACCAAAAAGGACACCTATGCTTTTTAGATGGTGTGAAAGGGAAACTAGAAGGAAACCACCCGGTTTGAGACAAACCCATGCGCTTGGTCCCAAATTGGGTGACCACTCTTTGAGTGGTCACTTTGCTGTTGCCACCCCCCCCCCAAAAAAAAAAGGATGATACCCCTAAGAAATATGACCCCAGTGCAGACCCCCCGGGCGCAAAAAGGAGAACCCCGACCAGCACTGGCCCTCAAGAAACCATTTTTTTTGAGACGGGACCCGGACCAAACGTGCGGCCAAAGTTCCACATTCCAATCCACACCCACATTCCAATCTGTCCTCGAGCTTCACCAACAGTCAACATGTGCGCTTTTCCTGCAGTTGGTATGGCACAATGCAATTAAGAAGTCTCCCTGTTGTTGTGAGAAATACATTTAGTACCTTGAGAATAGACAATTTGCGAATGTTGGACGAACCTCATATGAGCCACAGTCACATTCATCGCGGTCGCCATTGACATGAAAATTCGGCGAAAACCCACTTGCTCAATGCTAATTGGCAATTTGGTGAGTGTGCCTAATATCCTCCCCATTTGATAAGTACATGATGGAGAATATTGAGCAGCTGACAGTGTTCCCACAAACCAATAGGGGACGACCATAAACCCACAACCCATGAACCTTGAAAACCGGAAGGGCATACCCTCTTATTCACTTTTGTTCATGCGTACCATGGTCAAAACTCCTCTTGACGATGGTCATGGCTCCAATACTTTCCGAATCCGTACGGATATCCAAACTCATAAACCCACCACCGCCAACCTGTCAAAGTGTTGCTAATCTGTTGACCGTGGCACCTGTGGTGACTCTAACTACGCCAAGTAGCAGCAGGGCCACATGAGGGTGGCTATGAACTGCATGGCTGTCCTCAGGGCCAAACGAATCCGCCCAGCCGGGTACAAAGGGCTCCCCACCTCTTGCCGAGTTACCGAGTCTGAAAACATATGTCCCAAGTTGAAATCCACAAAGGGAAACCTGAAACCTGTTCGTTGCTGGCTGGGAATGTACCGGGCTAGCTGGATTCTGGCACATTAAGATCGAAGCTGAAACCAGTGGAATCCATGGCCTGGGGTCTGAAAAACATACGCCCAAATTATGTTTCAATATGGCGTGTACATAGATTTTATACTCAGATGCCCAGTGGTTGTGGGAAAAAAGGGCATCCTTGTTTGGTTGCTTGAGTCTAAAGGGGCACCCTTCCCCCCCAAAAAAACGGGCGCCACTGGACAACTGGGTATAGCTTTGGGATCGGAGACAGGTGGAAGTGGAAGCTGGTCGCGGCTCTCAGCTGAGCGCGGGGCGTGGCTGGTGTCGACTCCGTGCGAGTCGGTGCCAGTCTCGGAATGACTGTCAGTCATCCCCATCGCTATGGTCCCCCCCAAAGCAAAAACGCCAACCCCGTACATCCCAAAAAAAGAACACGAAAGTGCCTTGTGCAGGTCAGGGGGAAACTGAAGTTCTTCCCAAGTCCCAGATTCAAGTGCCCCATCTTGCCCAACTGCCGGCCCCACAGCCATCCGCAGTGGTCATTAACAAAAAGAAGAAAACAAATCCCCAAGTGGTAGGTCACATGCGAAATCTGGCTGTTTGGACAGGCAAAACTGTGGGCCCTGTTGCTTGCAATCCGGCGAAAGTTCCGCTTCGTGCTTAAAAGCCTTGAGCGGGGAGCCGGAAGAGGGCAGTATTCCTCGCATGGCATAGCCCCCAAACAGACAACGGATGAATCTGTTTATGGATCTCCGGACCTGTCTGAACATCGCCAGCTGGACAAATCAGAAAGGAGCCGTGTCCATGTGTGAGTGTGTGTGTGTGTGCGCGCGCGTGCTGGTATCCATGCGCACACCGCATTTGTGTTTCTGTATTGCAAATGCGCCACCTGGGCATGTTGCTTCGTCTCTTGGTCCCGTTGCAAAGCTGAACCCAAGGCACGTGGGGTGCAGCGGTGGTGGCGGCAGTTTCAGTGGCTGCTAGAGCAAGCAGCAGATGGCCAGCCACCAGCAGCCATCGGAGCAAACCCATTGCAAGGACGCTCGTTTCTTCTTCAGGTCTTGGTCTTTTGTTCTTCCTGCAGTCGCGAATGCTCCATTCCGCGCCCGACTCGTGACTCCTGAAGTGCGATTGTGCGGCACGCTTCACTTCATAAGCTGTGAGCAAAATGGGGAGCCGAGCAATCAATTGGAACTTTGAGGCTGGCGCGCGGTTTCGTGTTTTTCTGCGGTTTCGTTTCGGGGAACCAAAAGGCCCGTTAAACAAAACCTAAGCTCAAGGGCGAGATGTTGCAAATAGTAGTCTGATGGTTTCAACGGGAAACCAAAAAGACACTGAAAGACATGGCTAGCCAAAAGTCAAAAGCCATCCATGATATTCTGCGAAAGAAACAAAAAACAAACGCAGAGGGTAAGGACGCACAGGCAGCCTGGAAAAGTACATTAGGGAAACATAGGTGCTGCCAAACATACTGTGGATGGTTGCGAAATCCATGTCGCAACCATTTTGAGACCATGAGAATGAAACTACGGTTCTTGGTATTCACCTTGCATTGGTTCCAGGGATTCTCAGGTGGGTTTCAGAGAGGACTTTGTCCGAGCGGAGGCGACCGTCTTGGATGGTTTTGGCAAATGAAATGGAAGCCGAACGCATCCATTTTCGGGGTTGATCTCTCTAGCACACCCAAACCCAGATCCATACTTGTGGTTTCCCTTCCCGCACCCGGCTTTGGGTCTGTGTCAGAATGGGGATTTGGACCCGAAAAATGTGGGCGGTCTAATTGACATCCCTTCAAACCAGCCTGAAAAGAGCAGCAATTCCAAACAAGGCGCCAGGTTGGTTCAACCAGTTTCTGCACCCACAAGCGCAGCTTTTCGATTTTCCAACCACCTAGGGCGCTATGAGCGTGCAAATGCCCCAGTGAGAACTACTCGCTGACTGTTGGCTCAACGCGCCATGTCCAAAACGCTGCCCTTCCGCCCCGCAATCCGATCCGATCCGCACCTCCGGACGCGCCATGGCGCGCGCGCACAGGCGCGCTTTGGGGCGGTCTCAGGTGAGGCGGGCTGAGAGCGGCCCAGTGGTTCCATGTCCATGTGTAGGCAACCAAGGGAATCGTATGTATGTATGTATGTATGTATGTTGGTATGGTATGGTATGGTATGGTATGGTATGGTATGGTATGGTATGGTATGGTATGTATGGTATGTATGTATGTATGTATGTATGTATGTATGTATGCATGTATGCATGTATGTATGTATGTATGCATGTATGTATGTATGT